ATTTCAAATTCTCAAGTGGGTCATTCAGAGGAAGCATTAAATTGCTTTAAGCATCAAGATGGCTTGACGCAAGATCATTTTTGTAATCACAAAAGAATCCTCTGTGTAGAAACAAAACCAGCCCCAGTGTTAAGCGACATGAGTTGACTCAGGGTGAAGAGTTTAGAGGTTTATAAGATCATTAATTTTTTTATATGGTCTTAATAAGCTAAATTGTAGAACTAAGATACATAAGTTTCAAGCATTGTAAAAAAACATTTCTCATATGCTGATACATACAGCCAATTTAAAACTGATTGTTGTCTCCTCTCCTTCTAGCTTTGAGGTCCATCTTCTCCACACGGAATATGATGCAGAATTTCCTTATTCTTATGGAAATACGTTGGATAGGAACACTCTCAGAGCTGTTGGCTGATCATCAATGAACTCAGTTCCAAAAAGAACAGAAGGAAATAAGTATTTTTTTCAGTGAGAAATTCCTGAAAGTTGGAGATTTTGTTTTCGGATATGGCGGCAACTGAGGCTACTGCAGAGCCTGTCCAAGTAGACATTGTTGAGAATAAAGCTGAGGTGGAAACCACAAAGCCAGACCCAGCTTCAACAGAGGAAGCCCCAGCATCAACAGAGGAAACGCAGCATACTACTGAGGCACCGTCAAGCACAGAGCAGCCAGCTGATAGCAAATCCAAACCAGCCTCTGAAAAAATATGGGACTCTTTTTTAAATAAAAGTGGGCTTGGAAAAGTAATGGGAGGGAAGAAGAAGAAGGAGCAGCATACAGGAGCTGAGGATACTACAGGCGAGGAGCAGGATAAGATCTCCAATCAGAATGATCAAGGGGATACTGCAGGCCCTAAAGAACAGGAATCTAGTCAGCCAGCAGAAGCTAACGAGGCTGCAGCTGATGGGCAGACTATTGAAAAAGCCCCAGAAAATGAGGAGGCTTCCCAAGAGCAAAAGGCATCTGGTGCCAAGCCAAAGCAAGGAGAGAAGTCCAGTGTCAGAGACTTCATCCGCAATCCTGTCGCTAAAATCTTCTCACACAAAAGCACAGACAAAAAGGATGGTACAGGGGGGCTCCAAAAACATGACAAGGTTCGGTCGAAATCACTAGACAGACTAGAGGATGCTGACGTCAGCACAACTGTGGCTGACCAAACAGAGGAGCCTCCGACCACAGACGAGCCAGACAAGTCTAACCCTCAAACAACAAAAAACATGAAACGCTGGCACTCTTTTAAGAAACTTATGGCTCAAAAAAGTCACAAGAAAAGCACAGATGAGTCCAAGGATGCTGAGGGGGGAGATGGAACAAGTGCAGATGGAGCAGGAGACACTGGGACATTGGATTCCACAACAAAGTCAGAGCAATCTGGGCAAAAAAGGTGGAAATTGAAGAGATCTTGGACATTCCAAGGTCTGAAGAGAGATTCATCAGTTGTTGGAATCCACAAACCAAAGGACAAAGACTCTTCAGATGTAAAAGATGAAAATGACCCAGAGGCAGAACAGGGGATGGAAGATGTAAAGGTAGCCAGTGACGTAGAAACACAGGAGAAGACTAATGCTGACGTTGATGAGGAGAAAGGAGCAACTGCTACTACACAGCATGCAAAATCTGTGGACCAGCATGCAAATGAGATCTGGACCTCTTTCAAAAAACGAGTTATTCCCAAATCAAAGAAGGCAGCTGACACTGGTGGAGTAGAGGAGGAAGCAGCGGGTGAGCAAGAGCAGACTGATGAACCACAGGCGGGTAAAGACTCAGGCAAGACAGCCAAGGCAAAAAGGACACACTTCAACCGTGCTGTGTCACTAAAGAACTTCATACTGCGAAAGGGGAAGAGTACCAGCATGGACATGGGGGAGGGTACAACAGCCCAGAAAGATGGCGATGAAACTGCTGAGAGTGAGGCTAAAGACATGGATGGCCTTGATGATGCAGCTGGGTCAACCGATGTCCCACAGACTGGATCAGAGGAGCAGACTGTGGCTCAGAGTGAGAGCAATAATGAAGCTCAGGTGGCAGGCGAGCACAAGAGTTCTGATGGAGAGGAGAGGTCCCACACTAGCGCACCATCTGGTCAGCCATCAGACAAGCCTCATGCAGCAGATCCAGCACCAGAGGGTGGAGGCCAGGCCGAGCCAAAAGCCAATGGTGAGAATGGATGTTCGGATGCTACATCAGAGGACACCGCAGCACACAATCATGAAGCAACAACCCAGAATGATGTGAAGGATGAGGAGACCAACCAGGAGACCATAAACTCTAGTGGCAAAACTTGTCCGAAGGATGGGAAAATCCTAAATCAAGACGGGAAGTGCGATACTGTCAATGCAGTTGTCCAAAGCGGTGAGTGTCAAGCCCCAATTGACTCGAGAGATCTACAGCAAAATGGAAATGACAAAGCAGAGTCTAAAGTAGGACTAGGCACTAGTGTTGAGGTAGAGACCAGGGGGGATGGGGCCCCTCAATGTGGAGGGTCCCTTTCTGGGTCAGCGAAGACCAATGCAGATGAACAAGAGGAGGCCTTGAAGAGGATGTTCTATGAGGTTGCAGCTTCCATCGTGCGTGCAGTTGTATCCTCAGCCACTGAACAGTTAGCCAAGGAGAAGGAGCCTCCGGACAGTAGTTTGCAGTGTTTCCAGCCTGAAAATAATAGCAGTTATACAGATATTGATGTCAGTTACTGTCACAGAGAAGTTACTTTAAATCAGAGATCCCTGTATTGATCCTCAGCATCTGTGTTTGTGGGGAACATGTTCTGGTGTTGTGGACACATGTCAAAAAGTTATTGTTATATTCCATCACCCCTTTAAAAAGTTGTGAATTTCAGGGTCAGTGAATTCAAAGGAAGATATAGGTGCTTTAATTGAGCTGTTGTGAAGTTACCCAAAGTACCAGTTTGTGTATTTTCAGGAAGTATTCTCTACCTATAATAATTTATTAAATGAAAAATTATAGCATGTCTCAATGTTAATGTGGAGCCAATAATAATTCATTGTTCTTGAGGTCGAGGATTTTCACATGCAGTTGTGTAGTGTTTGCTTTTCTGTATTATAAAGTTCACAAAATGTGTTTTTGGTGAACCTAAATGACCTCTTCTCTGTGACAAAAATGTGTGAATAATTAAATATTAAAATGAAAGTTTTAAATGTAGACATATATTGTAATATATTCTGAAATCTCTTCTGTTATTATTTACCAGAAAAAAAGGCGGGAAACGTGTGACGCCACACAAAGAGGATTAGATCTGCATGGGATTCGTTCAGCGAGGAGCTTTGCCCCCCTCCCCCCAAAATATGGAGTAATCACATGTTTACGCCACGATTCACCATGGTGAGAGATGCAATCCACATAGTTAAAAAAATCTTGAAAAGCAATAATTCAGAATCATCAATCAGTGCAGTTCTTGCTACCATTCCATCATTGTAAATGTTTTGCCTGTCTACTAGTGAGATTTTATATTGTCATAAACGACATTCCTTTGAAATGTTAATCTCAGTGATCAAAAAGTACCGTGATCATAAAGACTGTTAGTTTTATATTAATTGCCATTATGTTTGTAGTTTTCCTTTGACTAGATATATGTGATACAGACACATTTAAAATAACAGCCCGCCAAACTGCTCCCCGAATTGTGAATTCAATACGAAATGTGCTCTAATCTGTGTTTTTGTTTTTAGACTGTTATCTTGTGTACATGAATAAACCACCATTAAACATTAAGTAATTCTCTGGGTTTTCTTGCAGGTTACAGATTTTAGAAAAGAAATGCTGACTAATTAGCATGCAAACCAACAGAATTTATTTACATTACCTGTCAAAAGTTTGGAAACATTACAATTTTGAATGTTTTTGAAAAGTCTCTTTTGTCACCAAGGCTGCGTTTATTTAATCAAAAAGAAAGTAAAAACAGCAATACTGAGAAATAATTTTTACAATATTGTTTTATATTTGAATAAATTTAAAAATGTAATTTATTCCTGTGATGACAAAGCTTTATTTATATTGGATGCTTTAACTGGGATTTAATATCTCACTTCATCCCCAACATATTTCTATTAAGCTCAGATGATTATGACTGTCCCATCTTTGACCACCATAATGTTGTCAACTATTTACACTAATTCGCCAAGATCATGCTATTAGCACGTTAACTGCAGATTAACAGAATGCCTAGCAACAGGTTTTGGTGCAGCATTTCCCTATAGCTCACCGCAGGGTCAGGGTTAATGAAGAACTGTGTGGAAGTATTAACAGATAATGAGCTGACTTAACAGGGACAAAACAGGACAGAGATATTGAGACTGTATTGGCAAGCGGGTGAAACTGACACTCTGCATGACAGACTTGAATGTGGCTTTGAGATGAAATCAATACCTATTGACAACACAACTCGGGTGGACTTTACAGACTTAGCATATGTTGTCAAAGCAGTAAGTCTCATCTTACATGTCAAAACAGGTCAATGGTAATACCTTTTTTTATACTGTTTTTGCCATAAAAAAATACTTTACTTTCCAATGAGCATCTGCACATGCTGCTAGACATCATGTGGGCAGTAGTTTAACTGGTTCTAGGGTGGAAAAGAGATTTTACAAAAAGAGAGAGATGAGCTTGGATAAATTGGGGAAAAAAAGAACCTTTGCCCTTTGTTTTAGACAGACAAATCTAGTAACCTCATTTTCCATCGTCATCTAACTGTACCCAAAGGCAGAGGAGGTTTTATTAACTATGACACAGAGCATTAAAAACTCCACGTTAGATAAATCCATTGAAAGGCAATCTGCTTAATGGTCCACAGGCCAGTAAGATGACACTTAATGGCCACTTTTACTGAAAATACCAGCAGGTCACAGAGGTACTCTTAATCTATGAAAGCATATTGACGAATTAAAGAAAACCAGAAAAGAGTGCTTTCATCTGACATGTTTTCCCATCTTTATGTGATTAAGAGGATTGCTGTGCAAAAGCCTCTTAGTAAAAGAGCACAATGCACAAACTAATGTGTTTTAATCACAGTTTGTGCTGTAGATATGTAAACAACAGTCAAAGGCAATTTACAGTTATGTTTTAAGAAACTCTTACACCATATTATCTGAGAAAATATAAATACAAACAGGCAATTAAAAATAAAACAAAAAGTCCTTTAGTGCATTACCCTCAACGCCCCACATATTTACAGACGTTGCTTATGAAAAGCTCATTTTAGGATAAAGCAGTTGTGCATTGTCATACACATTATATACACAATACATACATCTTCATAGATTTACTCCATTTTGGACATCTCAAATTTCGTAGTCATGATCTCCTGGGGGAGGAAAGAAAGACAAAATCATGAGAGGAAATCGTTTAAACAATGGGGCTAATGAGACATTTAAAAAGGCTGTGCAATACAATAAAATTCTCGAAATAATCAACACGGTTACATAAACGCCTGCATGTATTGTAGCATGTAATCTCTGATCTCCTCTTTAAGAGATTTGTCTGTATTGGCGGCGGTTCGAAATGAACACGTCCAATGTTAGCTTTGGTGAGGTCTTATTAGTCAGACAAAACCTCCAAAGCCTCAGCGCTCCTTTTGTTCCAAGCAGAAAGAAAACAACCGACGGAGAGGGAGCGAGGGTAAACACTGTGACGTGACAGGCTGATCGCTCTCTGTGTTCTACTTTGGAAGCTCAAATGGCGCCCACTGCTGGCCTATCAGAATACGAGACACTTACCTCGTCTGAGTCTAGCAGAGGCGGCAGTGCGCTGCAAAACAAAGAAAAGGACACATCAATGACACGGCAGTAATTGCTAGTAGATTTACAGGCAAATTGATAGTGTCTTTGGATGTACAAATAATCTGACTAAAAAGGGAATTCCTTTTAAAAATAACCAGTTATTTCTCATTCTAACCATAATTTCTGTAAAAATATGACTTTTATATGATCCCTGGACTTACACATCAGCCATCGATGAGGGAATGTTCTCCTCAACCCATTTGAGATCTTCATCCTGTAGTGACCACAAAATTTACAAATTTACCATTGGGGGAAGGCCTTACCATGACAAAAAACATGCAGCACATCTGGGAATACACAATAATGAGCGATTGTTTTCTCACAACGTGGTGTTTTATATCTTTCTTAAGGCATTCTTATATATGGCAATACAACATGCTTATTGTCAGTAAAACTATTCATTTTCTATGCCAAGCATTGTTGTGCATTACCACTTTGCTGAGTTTTGCACTTCCGTTGGTTTCTGGTTTCATCCCTCTCATTTTCACACCCTCTGTAGATTCAAGAATAACTGGTTAGAACCGGCTAAACACAGTCAAGCAAACAAAGGCTGATAACCAAACATGCAGACATGATATGCAGCATTCAAGTGTGCTGATGAAATTTAAACTGTTGTTTTAATGTCGGCATGAAATGCAAATGGATCTCATTGTGAATGATTCACCCATGAATACGTTTCAATTTTAAGAAAATTTGTGAAAAATGTCAACTGAATATTCCTGTGAAAATGACAGACCTGAAGTTCATCTGCCTCCACTTTTGAGCATAACACCCACATTCCAAAATCAAATCATCAACCAATTAATATAATCAGGTCCCTCCCTACATTTTTTCTTTTTTGATAATCTGTTACACTCGGATGTATATCACAATACAGACGAAAAGATCTGTCGCTATTTCATTGCGACTTTAAATCAAATACATCATATATTGAAAGATCCCACATGCAGAATAATTTCTCCACCATCTTTAAATACAGGCCACATCTTGTGTCTCACACCTTCTAATTTGTTAATTAAAACTCTTACCGAAGGCTTCATTCATTAGCTGCTCCTCCTCTTCCTCGCTAACTTCATCCACCAGTGGACTGAAGGCATACCTGAAGGGTTCAGAATGAGAGACTGATGATCTTGTCTCCACTATAAGCTGAGTTTACAAACAGGGTTGACACATGGATAGAGGTGAAGTGCTTTACCTCTGGTTGTTCGCTGAAGGCCTCCATAAGAAAATAATGACGAGCAGGATACTGGAGAACAGGAAGCGCCAGAAGGCATCATCTATCCACAGCTCTCTCCAGTCCTACAGTTCATGGCAAATAGGTGTCAAACAAATATATTTAACTAAAAAGACAGAAGAGATACTTGTTACATGTAACAAGAGAATGCTCACAGATTGGCACTTGGTTAACTTGAAGGTCTTTGTTGTCCACACAATGAATATAACAGATGCTGAAAGAGAATCAGAATTTTATTATGAGAACATGTGGCCAAAAAAAAAAAAAAAAAGCAGCAAAATAATTCTATTTGCATAGACTTCCATTCAAAAATTTGGAGTTGGCATGATTTTTTAAAATGTTTTTTTTTTTTAAAGTCTCTTACACTCAAAGGCTGCATTTATTTGATCAAAAATACAGTAAAATATAATAGAATTAGAAATCATTATAATATGCTGAGATTTGATGCTCAAGAAACATTTCTTATTATTATCAATGTCAAATATCAATGTTGTGGAAACCGTGATATTTTTTTTCAGGATTCTTCCTTTTCAGGACTCACCGACCACTTTATTAGATACACCCGTTCAGCCAATCACATGACACCAACTCAATGCATTTAGGCATGTAGACATGGTCTGCTGGAGTTCAAACTGAGCATCAGAATGGGGGAGGAAAGGTGATTTGAGTGACTGAACATGGTATGGTTGGTGCCAGACAGGCTGGTCTGAGTATTTCAGAAACTGCTGATATACTGGGATTTTCTTACACAACCATCTCTAGGGTTTACAGAGAATGGTCCGAAAAAGAGAAAATATCCAGTGAACGGCAGTTCTGTGGGCGAAAATAACTTGAGAATGGCCAGACTCAACTAACCACTTGTTACAACATGTCAAACCTTGAAGCAGATGGGCTACAGTAGCAGAAGACCACCGGGTGCCACTCCTGTCCTCTAAGAACAGGAAACTGAGGCTACCAAAATTGGTTGCCTGGTCTGATGAGTCTTGATTTCTGCTGTGAAATTCAGATGGTAGGGTCAGAATTTGGAGTAAACATCAACGGTTCAGGTGGTGAGGGGGATATTTTCTTGTTACACTTTGGGGCTCATAGTACCAACTGAGCATCATTTAAACGCTACAGCCCACCTGAGTGTTGTTGCCGACCATGTCCATCCCTTTATGACCACAATGTTTCCATCTTCTGATGGCTACTTCAGGATAACGCACATGTCACAAAGGTTACTATTCTCAAATGGCCTGATCTCAATCCAATAGGGTACCTTTGGGATGTGGTGGAACAGGAGATTCGCATGATGGATGCGTCATCCGAAAAGCTATTGTGTGATGCTATCATGTCAATATGGACCAAAACCTTTAAAAAAAATGTATCTATGCCATGTAGAATTAAGACAATCCCTAAGGCAAAAGGAGGTCCAACCCAGTACTAGCAAGGTGTACCTTAGGGATAGGGCAAGGTCAGTCCTGGAGTGCTGCTGTCCTGCAGAGTTTAGCTCCAATCCTGAAAAAAAAAAAACTCACCTGCTTGTGAACCTTAGTTATCCTGAAGACAATGATTAGCTTGTTCAGATGTGTTTGATTAGAGTTAAAGCTAGACTCAGCAGGACAGCAGCACTCCAGGACTGACATTGCCTATCCCTGGTGTACCTAATGTGACTGGTGGCTGGTGAGTTTATTACAAAATAGAAAATCCTTTGAAAAACATCTTTACTGTCACATTTTAATAAATTGAGCGTCCTTACTGAATAAAAGTTTTTTTTTTTTTTTTTTAAACATACTGACCCCAAACTTTTGAATGGTAGTGCATCGTGAAGGGAATATCAGTGCATGCAAGTGATAGAATTTTTAGTAAAATTATAGTTTGAAGAGTTGCCAATGTAAATATAGCAAGAGAGAGAGACATAGATTGAATGTCCCCAATTACGGCTCACTTTCCATTAATAAATCATGTAACCCAGATGTTTGACAGACCAATCATAATTCAGTCTGCATTGAAAGGATTACAGTACTGTATTGAAATGCCTAAAAACCAGTGATTAATGTCAAAGACACTTCACACAATAGTGTAGTAGTGTGCAGTGTGTGCTCACCGATGATAGCGAATATGAGTGTGTTGGTGAAGTGTCGGTACAGGGACAGCTTGACCAAGTTTCTCCTCAGCCGAAGGAGCTTCATCGTCTGGGCCAGGCTAATGAAGATGTGACTGGGTGTCAAGGACTATATATCTGATCACTAGAGCTCAGCAACTTCCTAATGTTCACAATCTAAATCAGACACAGCTTACTATGCAGTTAAACCAGAACAGAAATGACAGAACTGTAGAGTCTTCCTGACCCACTGGCTGTAACATGGATGAGTTTGTCCTTTAGGTGAGTCAAGCTTTATGAATGGAGAAAATATAGGGAATCACAAAGGGAAGGAGGACAAAAAAGGGCGATTAACAGCACAACCCAGCAAGAGAGAAAGAGGGACACACACAAGCAGCATTGGAGAAACGTAGGATATCCACCAGCAGAGGGTAGAGTCGAGAACAGCCAAGGGGATGGCAGCCAGCAACACCAGGTCATCTTCAGCCTGGCAGAACAATACAGGGGAAGAGAGAGGGAAAGACAGAGAGAGCCAGAGAAAGAGAGAGAAGAGTAGCACCGTCACACACACCACCATCAGAGGGTCCTACATAGGGCTGGACGACTGCCTTTTTAAGATATTCAGAACCTCAATATTTCTTTATTTGCTCAGAGATGGCTTGAAAGGCTGACTTTTTTCAAAAGGAACTGTCAATTTAATTCAACCAAATATTTTCCAAAATGATTAATGCAAGAAGTACAGTAATGAACATACACAAAAGAGATTTAATAATTTCCATGAAACTACAGTATACTTTCATCCAAACGGTTTGTGATCAAAATATATATTTTTTAAATGTTCTTAGCATAAATTAAAGCATAAAGCATTCTCACTAATGCTGTATTTACTTTATCAACTGTTTTCTATTTCAATGTTTTAAAATGTAGTTTATGTCTGTGAATTTTCAGTAGCCATTACTCCTGTCTTTAGTGTCACATGATCCTTCAGAATCAGTTAAAAACAGTTGTGTTGCTTATTATTTTTGTGAAAATCAGGATGCATTTTTTTTCAGGGTTCTTTGATGAATAAAAAGTTCAAAAGACCAGCATTTATTTTAAATAGAATTTTTCTGTTGCGTCCTTGCATAAATAATTAAAAAAACTCACTTGCCATAAACTTTTGAACGGTAATGTGAATATTATTGTTTATTACTAAAACATTTTAATATCACATAGGTGCATTCTTGAATATTTTTGAGCGAATTTGTTGAATTAGATTTAGTTTCTGAAATGCAGAGTTTAACAAAAGAATATATTTTGAAGAATGTTTGTAACCAAACAGTTGTGGGGCACCATTGACATCCATAGTATTTTTTTTTTTTCATATTATGGAAGTCAATAGTGCCCCACAACTGTTTGGTTACAATCATTCTTCGAAATATCTTCTTTTGTGTTCAGCAGAACAAATACATTTTTACAGGTTTGGAACAACTTGAGGGTGAGTAAATGATGACAGAAATGTCATTTTTGGGTGAACTATCCCTTTAACAGAAGTAAATTGAACTTACCAAATAGTGTAACTACATGTTCTCAGGAAACTTTATGGCCAAATAATCATAGATATGTATATGCAGATGCCACATCGACCGATAAAGAAATGTCGACACGTCCGCCATCTGGGAACGGTTAACATGATGCCGTTCATTAGTCACACTAACAATTCAATGAATTTTAATTCAATGAAATGGGATAACCGTTCAGAATGTGCTGGTTTATGTATAACAAATGCAATATCCATATACAGAATTGTTACATTAATAATAAACTAAATGCTGTGAAACTCATCTGCTAAGGTCTATTGCAGATGTAGATGAACAGTAAACTTGCTCTTTCAAGTGGTCACGGACCGGATTTGACCGTTCCAATATGGCGGACGGATTACGTAGCAGCCCATAGAAACAGACACTAATGAGGCATCTGTGAAAATATACCTATGAAATAAATAGCATTTCAGTAATCGAGTAGCGTTAAATTCCTATGTGGTTTCATTTTATATTGCAATGATCTTCATATTTAATACAGCGCCCAGCCCTAGTTATAAATGCTAACTTTGCAACCATCATTCAGTCCAACAAAGGCAGGTTTATGTCATGCTACTAGCTCTGGAGCAAGACTGAAAATGGGGAAAAAAGATATTCCACAAGGCATTATCTCAACTGTACGCCGCCACCACCAACACAAGTGCCTAAAGAATCTATGTCCATTAGCATCCCAAAAAGAATTGCACAGAGTACTGTCTGCATTGTCACTGAAGTAGAAAAAAAACATTTATAAGTTCAACCCTGTTGAATCTGCTGTCATTTCCATTTATCTGTCCTGAACTACACCATGCAGAAGTCACTGTAATAACACCACAAAATGAACACTACTATGACACAATCTTAACAGATGACTGACTTGTGAAAGGATATCCACCACACAACACAAGAATCAATGAGGGCCATAACAATGTCACAAAGCAGCCTGCTTGAACCACCGTGCTCCTGCGAGAGAGAAACATTAAGCTTCACATGACATGTGGTGCAACAGCATCATGTTAAATTAGAAGGTTTGCCACAAAGGAGGAGACATTTCTCCACTAGTCACTATTTATTATTGGCAATGAGTAATTGGCAAGTGTGTTTGGATTCAGCGGTGAGACTCTCCTTACCGTGTTGACTCTCAGGACGCCCTCTATGATGGAGAAGATAAGGTAGAGCAGTCCTACTCCCACTACCCTGTGCAGCAATGCTCCTAGTCTTGGCCTGCAGCAAAAAGGCAGAGTTGTTGAATGGGGAAATGTATAGAAGATTACTCTTATAGTAAATGCTTTGTTGCAATTGAACTCCACTTCCAGGATTAACTGCAAATAGCATTGCACTTAGGAATGCACGATATATCGGCTACCATTTCGGTATCGACCGATATATGTTCATTTTTAATGTTACCGTTATCGGTCCGATAAGAAGATTTGGCTGATATATTAAAGTCGATAAATTATTTCCTTCAGCTGAGACAGTTCAGATGCGCACTGCTCTCCATAATGGTTTTGAATAGCTAGAAATATGATTGGAATCACTTCAAAAAAGGAAAATACAGTTAAGTGCAACATGTGCTGTCATATAGGCTACATCAAATTATAATGAAAACATAGGTTGACATGGGTTCTAATGGTGAGACTTTTGTTTTTGTAATCAGGCTCTCAAAAATTATATAGAAATTTGGATGTAGATTTATCGGCTAATATATCGGTTATCGGCTTTCAAATATAAAGAATTATCGGTATCGGCCAGAATGTTCATATCTGTGCATCCCTAATTACACTTATCCTAGTGTTCAAAAGTTTGGGGTCTGTCACTTTTTTTTTTAAACGTTTTTTTATGCTCACCAGAGCTAAATTTATTTGATCAAAAACACAGTAATCTTTTTTTTATATATTATTACAGTTTAAAATAACTTCAGATCCTTCGGAAAACATTCCAATATGCTGATTTGGTGTTAAAAAACATTTACCGGTATTATGATTATTATCATTATTGAAAACAGTTGTTCTGCTTAATATTTTTCTGGAAACCTTGATACATTTTTTGCAGGAATTTTTTTAATGAATATAAAAGTTCAAAAGAACAGCATTTATTTGAAATAGAAATGTTTGTTACAAAACTTACAATGTAACAAAGTCTATACTTTTGATCAATTTAATGCATCCTCACTGAATAAAAGATTAGACCAGATTCTAGTCTATTATGCCTCCATTTATCACAGTTTAAAAACAACTTACTTGACTATGCCATATCCCAGGCTAGCAATAATGACCAACACTCGAGCCAGGGTTCTTTTCACAGCCGAAAGTACCTCTGCAAACACCACTGCACCTTGAACTGCACACACAAAATAATGCACCGTGATGACTACATTCACTATAGTAACCTTATCAAAGCTTTACAGCACCATTACAGAATCAGTCACATCAAACATAAGCCTAAGGATTTAGCGATATAATGGGCCACAATACTATACTGTACATATAAACAGTTTGCCTTTGTGTTGAACATAAAAAAGCAGCGTTATTTTTAAATGTACTAGATTATTACAAATGCGTATTAAAACATTACAAACTAAATATTAAACAGCCTTCATTTCTCTTCACAGTGACCATTTAAAAACTGACCTAATTTGAGTGCACTTATGTTGTACTTCACATAAAATATAAGAAACAGCTTGAAGTGAGACCATACTGTGTGTCTGCAGCTGAAATGTGACATGAATAAATAATGAATCCGTTTTTAGGACACATTTTTAACTAGTGTTACCTGATTGGCCATCGTAACGGATGCTTTGGAACTCTGCATAGAAGACCGCCTTCTCAAGCATGCCCAGAAGGATCACTCCCCCAATCCAGAACTGAATACGCAGCAGGTCTCTCCAGTAACAAGCCGAGAGAGCCAACCACAGCACGCCCATAATTACGTAGATGATGCACATCACCATGTAGAACTGAGGACAACGGGCAAAAAGTGAAAGTGGAAGCCTTTGCACAAAATACTACACAAAACACTGATATGTTGCTACAGTAAATCCTACAATAACATAGGAATCAGAGCCTTAAATAACTGCAGTTAGACAATAAAAAATAAAAAGACAGACACTCACAATCATCAAAGGCCATTCAGATGCTGAGATGTAGTCATAAGGGCCGTGCATCCTGACCTCCACTGTAGTTTGAAGAAATATATATTAAGTTAACATTCTTAAAATTATTAACATTAAAATGTGTTTATTTATAAAATTTGTTAGCAATTGTACATGTCATTCAAAAGGACCCTTGCTGTCAAACTGGGCTGTTCTTGTTCACAAGACATTATGCTGATAATCAAAGATCTGGCTTTGTGAGTTCCATAAGTAGTTTATAACTACATGAACCTCATTATTACCATTGAGGTAAGCCTAATTATAATCTTACGTTGAAAGTTCCATATCGTTTCTTTGGTAGCTGGAAACGCGTCAGTTCTGATGATGAACATGTAAGGGCTGTCTTCCCAGGTCTGTACCGCTGCGGTGTGCGATTTAGACTGTTTTTGCCACAACAAAATGCATGTAAAGAAAGAGCCACAATAAAGAACGATTTTTGAATTGTGATTCTGTGCAATAATACTCACTGAGGTTTTTACAGATAAAGAGTCTTTGCTTTTCGGAGCACTCGATGGATTTGTTGCAGCAGCCTGATCATACAAACATTTGAAAAAGTGTAATTTTACAAATCCTCATTCAAGTCTTAACCTTGTTGGCATTGAACATCATATTGCATCTTTGCTTCCTTTACAATAAAAATTACCATCACTTAATAATCATAACAAGGCATTAAATAGAGTAATTCTTTCAAAAAAAAAAAAATCAACATTTTGACATTATTTACTCACTCTCGTGTTGTTCACATGAACGTATAAAGTTGCTCTTTTCCATACAGTTATAGTAAATGGTGACCACAATTGCAAAGAAATTTGAAAAATTACTAAAATTTGTCATTTTAAAGTTTGTTCCTCACACAGTGCTGCACGATGAATCATATCGCAATCGCGATGTCAAACCTGTGCGATTATATGATGCAGAATACTGCGATTTTATATGAAATAAACAAATTAGTGCTGTTAACGCAGCATCTGTTATTTTTTGTCATCCTTTGGCTAGTGTTACATGATCCCGCTCTTATTCATGCGAATGCTTTAAACCATTCAGCGAGACAAGTCAAAAGAGAGCGCGCTGCCTGTGAAATTCTGTCCTGACTGAAAGACGCGCGCCAGTATCATGCGCATGCACAGACCGCGCGCCAGAATACAGTCTTTCCGCTTGAAGTGAACGAACAACACACACAATTATGCCAAAATATCATTTGTCGAGTGTCTTCATAACATAAGAGCAGTCTTATGATGGTCGTAAAGAGTTGTGAGAGAATAAGGCGCGTGTGAGATCCGCGTCTCTGTCAGAAACTCTTAAAGGGCCAGCATCCAATAATGCTTTGTCAGTAGTTAATCAAAGAACAAAGGGAACAGAGAAAAACACTCACTGCTCTTGACCAAAGAACTTGTGTAGCTTTAAATAGGATTTTAGTCCATATAATTTATGCAGCGCAGACTGTTTGATAACTTTATTCAATTTCTGTATATGTCCTACCTGTTAGACAGGAAGAGCACAGGTAAATATGACATTTATTATGGGTTTATGTGAGGATTGTTTGAAGTTCACTTCAATTAAAATTAAATAAATTTGTATCCAGACATCAATGGCTTATTGATCATTATAGGTGTTATCAATCATTTAGTTGTTGTTGCTAGTTTGAGTTGAGAAATACACATTTCAGAATTATCACTAATCTGTGTGTGCCTTTTGCTTTAAAACCAAGCAAGTTGACTCATGAAACCATTTGTTTATTATATCGCAATCGCATATCGCAATATTGACCTCAATAATCGCAATATGACATTTTCCCCAAATCGTGCAGCCCTTTATGTTGCTAGTTTTGGAGCCTGAAAGCCCAGAGTCTCCATTCATTTTGTATGTATGGCAGAGAGGAGCTCAGACATTCTGCTAAACATTTCCTTTTGTGTTCTAAAAGAGAAAAAAAGTCACACCGGTTTGGAGGGCGAGTAAATGATGACAGACTTTTCATTCTGAGTGAATTCTTAAAGGGATACTCCACTTTTTTTGGAAATAGGCTCATTTTACAACTCCCCCAGAGTTAAACTGTTGAGTTTTACCGGTTTTGAATCCATTCAGCCGATCTCCGGTTCTGGCGGTACCACTTTTAGCATAGCTTAGCATACATCATTGGAGTGGACAAGACCATTAGCATTTCTAAAAAAAAAATGACCAAAGAGTTATGATATTTTTCCTATTTAAAACTTGACTCTTCTGTAGTTACATCGTGCACTAAGACCGACGGAAAATGTAAAGTTGCGATTTTCTAGGCTGATATGGCTAGAAACTATACTCTCATTCCTGCGTAATAATCAAGAAACTTCACTGCCGTACCATGAGAGCAGCAGGCGTAATGATATGACGCAGCGCCTGAAAATAGTTCCGTTGTGTTGACGGAAGGTGGCCTATTTTCAGGCGCTGCGTCATATCATTACGCCTGCTGCTCTCATGGTACGGCAGTGAAGTTTCTTGATTATTACGCAGGAATGAGAGTATAGTTCCTAGCCATATCAGCCTAGAAAATCGCAACCTTACATTTTCCGTCGGTCTTAGTGCACGATGTAACTACAGAAGAGTCAAGTTTTAAATAGGAAAAATATCTAAACTCTTTGGTCATATTTTTTTTTAGAAATGCTAATGGTCTTGTCCACTCCAATGATGTATGCTAAGCTATGCTAAAAGTGGTACCGCCAGAACCGGAGATCGGCTGAATGGATTCAAAAACGGTAGAACTGAACAGTTTAACTCTGGGGGAGTTGTAAAATGAGCCTATTTCCAAAAAAAGTGGAGTATCCCTTTAAGGTTTCAATTCTGATTTTCAGTGAGGGTAAAAAATATTGAACAGAAAATGAACAAACATCTTTCGCCTTTACTTCCTCCTTCTCCACATCCCTCCTTCGTCTCTTTGGTTTAACTGTGGTTGGCTGAAACACAAAAGAGAGCAGACAATATTCCCAAGCTGTTTCCTGCATTTTCTGGCTGCAGCTTAAATTACATTTTGGGCTGTAGCTAGCAATTAAAAAAATATATTTTATGCAAAATGTTTTAATAATTGTGTTGTCCTCTCCCATTTTGCAGTTTTAGAAATTTGTCAGGATCTCTCCTATTTGGACAAAATCTATACTAGAAATATGTTAAGGAATTTCTGAATATGGGCACACACTAAAAATAACTAACGACACAACTGGTTAGACAAGATATTTATATGAACAGCAAAGTCTTCTAGTTGTTTAAGCTTCGGCTATTTAGGTTAGCTCTAAAAAACGGTCAGTTTTTCAGACAGAATCTGTGTCAGATCATCAGACCTACAAATAAAATACTTAATGCAAAGCTATTTGGAATAATGGATTCTGATTGGTCAATCACAGCGCTCTGCACCATTGAATAATTGACTATTAGGCAACAGATTTCCTACATAGCTGTGCTAGTTTCATATATCACTCCATGGCCTCTTTCATCTCATACAATCTTCTCAAATCAATATTTCATATCTATTTATTCATTTATTTGAGCAGCCATGGGATAAAGTGAAGTCCTGATCACACAGCTGGGTTTTATTTTGCAAATAATGGTCAGACTACAGTACATTATCCCCATATATAATTGTAATATTTCAACTTACCTCATATATTGGCTCCAGCTTTTTAGGCTGATCAGAGTTTTCTACAGCAAGCTGGGTGTTCAATCAAGAAAAAGAGATGCTTATTGACAGAGCCTTTGAAATTCATGTTAATTTAAGTCTGACCTAAATAAACTAAAACAGTAACAAAATGTACATTCACTCGACAGTGAATGTATTAAAAAGATAAACTGTCATGTACCTTATTTCCATCAATACGAGATGTGTACTCTATAGGCTCATACAAGTGACTAATGTAGAATCCATTGCCTCCTGGCCGCAGTACATTCGTGCTGTTAAAATATTGCATTTCTAATTCAGCCTTTTTGGAGAAAAGAGAATTTTGCATATTAAAAGGCTGTAAATGTAGTCAAAAACAGCACTTTTTGATAAACATCCACTCACATTAAGTCCAAACACTTCATCGTGGCAAGAAGAACTCCGCAAATACCATGATATACTAAAGTTTACAGGACCACTGCATTCTCCTTTGTGCCCTGAAATATGTTCAGTCGATTAATACAAATAATGCACAGAGCAGCCAAAGCATAACCGACTCACTGATGCATGAGATGAAGTTAAATTGGGGAAAAATGACAAAGTAAAGAGCATACTCACAGATTATTGAAATGTCAGTACCATTGAACATTGTTTTTGGAAAATAGAAGTAGTTCCTTTTAACTGTCTGAAATACACAAAAAGGAGAATTCTCACCATCTTACTAGTTACACAAAAATGAAATCCTTCATGGACATTTATTATAGAAGAAATATATTTGTAACTCTTATATAAAGATTAGCATGTAGTCGGCTATATTCAGGCAAGACCAGGTTAAAAAAATCCTGTAAAATAGCTTAGCCTAAACACTTAAGATAACTTACATGTATTATAGGCCTACCACTAGGCACATAACATCATATTATCGATGTTTTTATACATTCATATATATATATGGTAAGTGTTAACTGGTGTTGTGTGTGCAAAGACAATGGACTGTCAATATCACGAGTCTAGGAGACACTACGCGAGGGTCAAGATTTCACCTAGCCTGAATACCGCAGTTGGTGATGCACTTACATTATCCACATTCACGATCCATTTCCCCGGCTCTGATATAGCTGTCAGCGGTGGTATAAATAAGAAATGAAGAATGACAACAATCAGTACTCCTCTAATTCTCACCGATACCAAAGAATCGGTCGTGACAGTCGCCATTGTTATAAGGAAGCAGTTGACGTTACAACTTCAGCGCGAGCAACACTTCCTTGTGTAAATCTACATCCTGTTCGACGTCACTTGGTGGGTGGTGACGTTTCTGGTCATTTTTGTAATTAAATAAGCATTGAATTTATACATGCATAAAATAAAATAATGAAATATTACACATTATACAATTATGCATTAAAAACCCCACAAAAAGAAACCAACTACAAAAACAATATAAAAGTAATGATATAAAAATAAAAAGGGGGCACAATCAGGTATAAAAATATCAAATATATGCATGAGCTCACAAAGTGATATATATATATATATATATATATATATATATATATATATATATAATGTAATGTAAACAAAAACTTTTATGTTAGATGCAATTAATCACGATGAATCGATTTGACAGCACTGAGTAGTCAATGAGTCTCATATGCGGTCTATAGACAGCTTTACTGTGAGACAAGTTGTAATAAAGTTGGCTTTTAACTTGAATTTGAAATTTGGTCAAAATATAACTGAATAAATTAAATAAAAGTGCTTTCAACGTCTTTAGAATATTCTATTCTAAATTCTCTGCACATATTTGGTCAGGTCATTGTAAACGGGAAAGTTTGATGACTACAGTCAGTTTAAAAGTAAGTTAATTACAAACCACATTTAACTAAATTAAACAGTACCTTAAAATGCTATCTGTGTAAAAAAAGAGGAAGCTTGAAAACACTTGATTTTTGTGCTTTTTGGTTAATTAATTAATTAATTTATAATAAATATATTTTTGGTATGTGTATTGCTTGATTTTTGTCGTCAAACTGCATTTTTTTAGTGCTAATAAACAATTGCAGTCATTGGCTAGTTGGTAACATTTGTAAGAAATAAAGACAGCAATAATAACAGAATATTGTTAGAAATGTTTTATTTCATTGAAATTCCTTGAACAAAAGTCACAAACATCAAGTCTGTTGTACAGGATTTGTACACTAGGGAGCGCTTAATATCTATTTGAGAATACAGACTTCTGGCCTACAATTTGACGTCATGACGCATCACCTCTGCATTTGTTCTGAAACCAGGCTGGTTTTAGGACCTGGAGTTTGACAAATCAGTGGACTGGGTGTGGAGAACTGCTCTATTCATCAAGAACTGATCGCCTTTTGCAAACAGCTGCTTTTATCTGTTTACCTGAGCTGCGCGTCTTTCTTCTTCTCTGTACCTTTTCGCTGGACCCATTCAGCGTCTTTGTTCTGGTAAGGTCTTATTTAATAGTAGTTAAAATGGTTAGCATTACTAATTTCGGATGTGCGTCAGGATTAAAGCACAGCGGCCTGCTAAACTGTAACTTTAAAGTTGATTTCTACAGTAGTTAAACCAAGACAGTAGCATAAAGCTAATGCGTTACCAATTCATGTGTTCATATAAGTTAAATTCCCTTAGGCCTGTAGAGTACTGACATGGTTTGTTTATTCAGTGATTTACCTTTTCAAAATAAATATACCACAGGTAAATACGTACCATATATGAAAAGATATTTTTTACTGATAGATGACGATAAATGAGTTTTGTAGTCAGCTGACTGTCATGGATATTGGTCTGTGTCTATCTATTGCAGTTTATTTAGTATATTTATTTTTGTCTAATCACATCTTTATATTGTCTTTTCCTGTCTTGTTCAGTCTCAAGATGTTTTTGGCCCAAAGATTACTTAAAGGGCTCGTAGATGCTGTCAGGTAAGCCTGTACTCTTACTACTGTACTGCTTGTTCAAATAATACATTTTCAACAAATTCATGGTATCGGTTTGCTTTTTCCATGCATCACAGCAACGTCGACCAGTTTGTTCCTTCTGACCCTGTAAGTTTGCATATTTTATTTATTTATTTATTTATAATATTTCATAGTGATGTTTGAGGTTTTGCCATGTCATTAAGCACTTTGGCGAATCCTGGAAGTCAAACATAGTGGTCCATTGATTTCTTATCTTGGCGCATGAAAAAGTTGAATGCACTTCTCACTGTACTTGTCTGCTCTTCCAGCCTCCTCCCAGAAGACCGCTCGCATATGCAAACCAGAATGAAACTGATGAGGAGAGGCAGTTTCGCAAAGTATTTCAACAACTTGCAGGGGAAGTAAGTAGACCTGTCCTGACTCATACTTTTTATCTGTTCTTTCCAATGTTGTTTTTAATTTCCATTTTATTGGAGTGTTCAAATGTTTATTCTGTGGTGCAGTTTCTAATAAGATCAGCACAATCAGCTTCATTCACTTAGTGGAAAATGTATCATCCCCTATGACCTGCATCCTAATGTATCCTCCTATGCTTCTCAAATGATCCCTACACCTGCATATAAAGATTCATTAAAGTCTGACTACAGTTTTACAAATCAGACACATTAGAACACATTCATCAGACGTTCCGTTTCAACCCAGAAAATTCCACATCAAGGCATTGTCCAGATTCCATCACTTTGCTCCACCCAGCATGACTTTCCCTGTTTTCAGTTAGGTTTGTTTCCGTGTAGGCTTGTACATCTCATTCAGAGTTACTTAACTTCAAAATGAAAACATGGGTGTGGTTATAACATGCTTAACTAGTCCGGGGGCAAGAAGTATGGCTGGCTGTTCCTCTTTTTCACATTCCTGCCATTGTGACCCAATTGGTTTGGTTTGTGTTGAATCATAGAGGGGCGTGGAAGCCTTGCTTTACTGGATTCATTAGATCCAGGAGCTCTCTTTAAAGTTAAAGGGATACTTTCTTGTTATGCTAGTGGAAAATTACTATCAAAACATAATGGCGCGGTTTCACAGACAGCACAGACAGACCAGGATTAGGCCTTTGTTCAATTAGGGCATTTAAAGGGCATATTGCAGGTTAGAGGACCCAACGAGTCAATGTATAGAAAAACAATGTAGTAATTAGATTTTCTTTAAAATATACTTAAAAAACCGTTACATTGGCTTCTGGAGTCGTTTTTGTGAGAGAATTTTACTTCCGCATCTGAAAATGGGCGTGACGGGCGTGACGTAACGGGCGGGAGAGCGGTCGATTCAAACCATTCAAACAACAGGAAAACAATGGATCGCAATGACATTTCGGACTTACTCGTATGACAGACCACGGACGACAGCCTTACAATTATGAGCCTGCTATGCTGCTGAGAGAGCAGGGACAGGCCAGGATTAATGTTAGACAGAACAACGGTCAGAGGAGACATTATTGCAAAAGTAGGCCTATTATTATAAAAAAAACTTGCGTGGAGTGAGTGTGCGCAGCCGCAGTTTATTGCATCACTTAATCACGCTATTTTTGATTAGCCTAGCTGTCAGATACTGAGTAAACATTAAAAGAACAGGCCTATTCAATCTTCCCTGGATGTTTTTTTAACGAAGAAATTAAATAATAGCAATCAGGAGAATGGAAGCAGGAATAAAAAAATGAGGACTGTAGTGCTGTCGGCAAAACATTATACCACTGCAATAAAAACTGCACTGCAACAAAAAGGTAAGGCATATGTGTTTTTATATTTAATGCTGTTCACTGTGAGTTTTAATTAATAGTGTAATAGAGTTAATAGTGCATCGTTCATTCTGTTTGGTAAAATGTGGTGTATATCGTTCGATAATGTCGTTGTTTTACATGCACAGAGGGGAATGCAGGCCTATTTAAAACGCCGCCACGGCAGGTGTCGTGGTGAGAGACCACCGCTAACTTATAGATATATAGCCATAGATATATAGCCTATATACACGTTCGCTAACGATATACATTGTGCTCACAATATTGTACAGATTATTACCATCGTATATCAGTTAATAGCAAAGCTATTATTGGTCATCTAGGACTAGGAGTATTGGAATTTACCAATAACAGAATAAACTAAGCTTTGATCAGGCGCATGTCATGCTCATTAATATCCATCCAGACTAACGTAACTTACATGATATAACTTAGCGTTTTCTCATCGAGAGACAGATAGATATTTTTATTCCTGATATAGCCTACACGTTTTTGTTTCTCCGATCTGGTGTACGCTACACACGACCGCGTTTTTCGAAGCCGATGCAGAAGAGAAATCCTGTCTCGCAGCTGCACAAACCGCACACAGGCACGAAAGATATACAGCACCGTCCCTTTTCTTAGGAGACCTGTGGACTCGATGTCCTGACAGGCTGGAGTTTTTGCAACCTCCACAAACACAATAATTTACCATGACGATGATAAATTAAAATACAAAAACTATACCGAAAACACTGATTCACGACCACTCTCACTGACTTTTTTTTTTATTTGATGCCACAAGAACAAGAGGTTTTACATATTCACAATATCACATTAACATTAGCTGCCAGGAAATAAAAAATACAAAAAAAGTTTTACATAAAATCCAGTGCTTTCAAAGCATTACATGTTTTCATTGCTTTTTTGTTTTTAGTTTGTTCCAAGAGATGTAGCCTACATATAATGTGAAGTCATTTATAAAATGTGAAAAAAGCCCAATTCTTTTTATGAATCAGTGTATGGTATTTTCCTAATAAAACAAATAACTGTATAATATGTTGTTCTTTACATTCCAAATTGTCATTCTGAGTATAAAAAAGCTAATTTACCCGCTCGTACATACAAACCCATCTGCGCTGCTGAGGCTCCCTCCCTCTGGTGACGTAATATGACGCGATGTTGAAAAAAAAACGGTTTTTACGAGCAGTCAAAGAAATGCTCACTTTATCTACTAAATTTGTGCCCTTATGTCGTTTTAAAACATTTTAAATCCTGCATTACCTTTTCATATGGTATTTTCATACAAGGTTATATATTAATTTAGATTTTTTTTTTACCTGCAATATGCTCTTTAAGTAGCTTTTTATAAATGTGCACTCCCTTAGAAAAAAACATTACAGGTGTGCAGTTTGAGACAAAACAATGGCACTGACATGTTTTAGGATGTTTCAGTTCAATTTGTTTTTAGTTAAAACGGCTCAAACATGCATTTTAGTCTGGGACTAGCTTAACCTTGTCTGTGAAACTGGGGGAATATTAGAGAAAATCACTGAAGTTACTTTTTCCTATAACAATAGTGCAACAGTGGCTGCCCGCTTATTCAGCAGCACTGGTTTCAGAAGTATTTTTTCCGTTCATTTTTCCCATAGGGTTTTTTTTTTAAAGAGTCTTTGTTAAAGACTAATAAGCCTTGAACCAAGCCAATCAGCTACAAGGTGAATCACAACATTACAAACTTTAATTTGAAGCTAAATAGTTTTTGAAAGTCAGGCAAAAAGACAAAGGTACAAGACTGTGTACATGATGGCTTTACTAAGGAAAAGAACTACACTCCCATGAAGCATTGCAAACAGCATAATCAAATTAACTACGACAAGACAGCCAGAAACTGGGAGTGTATATATATGTTAAATACATTTCATGAATTATTTTGTGATTTTTGTAATATTCTAGATTTGATTCTGTAAAAACAACAATTACTGAAATTGGGAAAATACGTTTTCAGGTTACAACTTGATTTTTGATGTGTTTTAGCATTTTTATTACACTTAAAATAATTCAATAATATTTAAATAATTAATCAAATTAATTAAAGTCATTCAGTTTACTGTGGCTCCCTGGTTGAGAACTGCTGATTTAAATATATTTTATATACAAGTTCTTTGTTTAGGATATTACTAGTCTCTTAAAAAAAAGTGAGATTGTTTTAAGCTTGTATTGAAAGAAGAGTGCGGCTGTTTCCTCTCATCATAGGACATGGAGGTGAGCCCTAATGAACTGATGAACATCCTTAACAAGATTATTTCCAAACGTAAGTTCCTTTAACATATACATATGACACAAATGAGGCATTATGTAAAAGATGCTAATAAGACGATCCCTTATTTTCATTCTAGATGGCAATCTGAAGACGGATGGTTTCTCTATTGAGTCCTGCAGAAGCATGGTTGCAGTAATGGACGTATCCTTCAATACAATCAATCATTAACAGAATGTTAACAGAAGTATTACATTTTGTGAATAAGTGTTGAAATGGTACATCAATTTTGCCTTAACTATCTGCTCTCAGTCTGACAGTACTGGAAAACTTGGATTTGAGGAATTCAAGTATCTTTGGAATAATATCAAGAGGTGGCAGGTACAATAACTGTTAATTTTACACTTTTTGTACTTGACCTTATAGGGTCACACTACATCAGGGGTGCCCAATCCTGCTCCTGCCGATCGACTGTCCTGGGCTCCGTTCCAGTCCACTTTTAGACACGCACTTGCGAACTTCCCTAAGCACTTCCCCTCGGGGGAATCCCTGCCGCCATTTTGAAGTGCGTTCCACTTCGTGAAGTGGACGAGGGAAGTTTATATGGACAGACCCTCGCTCCCTCCCGAGTCTACTTCATATGTACACTTCAGGCAGCTCCATATACCACAATGCAACACGATGGTTACGTCACCGCAGATCTCGTCTAATCACCACCACCACAAACAGCTTTATATATTAATTATATATATTTTTTATTTTAAACAGCCCAAACACACCTATTTACATTTGGATGCTGCATTAAACAAATTCTTAAAGGGAAAACAAATGTAAATAATAAATAAACTCCATAGCTGATTTCAAGTGATCAAGGGCTTAGGACATTCCAATTCAGCCCATTGCAGTTTCCGCCTAGCCTGGATGCCAGCCCGAACCCCGCCCACAACATTTTTTGGTCGGGAAGTTCGGTCTGGACTCGATCCATTGAGGAGTAATTATGATCGGTTTAGAATTAGTCGGGCCAATCAAATTGCCAGGGCGGGCTTTATACGATGATGGACAGATGATCTGCAGTTACGTAATCATCGCGTTATCAAAGAGCGCTTGGGTTGAACTGGTTTCCCTCAAAGGTGACTGCAGCTGGAGAATTGAGATGTATAGATTTCGCTATCGCGTCTGTTGTAAGAAATCGGCAGCACATTCATTTTAAAAGACGAACAGAGAACTGCAATCAATGCATTTGTCGATCGGAATGATGTGTTTGCCGTCCTTACTACGGGATTCAGCAAAAGTTTAATTTATCAGCTGGCTCCGATGGTCACTAAGAAGATGGGACGCAATGAAAACCCTGTGGTTGTTGTGGTTTCTCCTTTGGTCGCACACTCGCACTCATGGAGGACCAATGTTTATTTTACTACTTCTTCCAGCGTGCGTGCAGTTGAAACTATGCTATGCAACTATGTAGCTGACTTATGCCGAGTTCAGACTGCACGATTTTAGCCCTGATTTTGGCTCGCTGACAGGTTTTGAGAAATCGCCGACAAATGCCCGAAATCACAGGCAAATCGGTGCTCGTTCACGCGAGTGACAATCACGCAGTGTGAATGAGCAAAGACGCGATCTGAGAGAATCGCCGACGAGTCGCCGACGCCCGTGAGATATTTGGCATGCTAAATATCTGGACCTGTCGGCGATTCACAATCCTGCTGTGTGAATGTGTTCTGACTGAAAACTACATCGGCGATGACCGACAGCCAATGAGAGGGCAAGATACAGGGAGGAGGAGGAGTTATAGACCAGAATATCAGTATTTTAATAGATAGGCCTATATTTACAATTATATCAAACAGAAACAAAGCACAAACATTTGCATGACCAGCAGCAACAGCAGGACATTTGCAAAATTATTTATTTACCCCCAACTCTCTTTGCAAAACACAGTCCTTGCTCCCCTCGTCTTCCCAACCATTTCCTGCATAAACTGTTTATTTATTTATTTTTCATTTTCGCTACAAATCAGTGCACAGACAATTTGTAGGCTATCATTTTTAATAACAAATTCAGTGTCGCGCGAGAACTCCGGTCTCACGCACGCGTGATCTTCCGTTATTTCCTATCACTTCTCGCGTTTGTTTGGTTGTGAAACGTAGTTTGCGGACCAGGCAGAAGTTGTCGGCGATTCTTTCTTTTGTGTAGTCATGCAGTGTGAAACCTCCTGTCGCCGATCCATCATGCAGTGTGAACACAGCAGCAACTGAACGTTACCCCAGATAGTCATGCAGTGTGAAAACAACAGTGACCCGATTATGTTGAAAATCGTGCAGTCTGAACTCGGCATTACTGTGTTGCTCTGATTGGTTGTAGGTCTATCCAATTGAGTGCAGAGGTTTTTTTTTTTCTGGTTCGGTTAAGACACGCCTCATAATTCAAGCCCTATGGAGCAGTATCAGACTCACATTCTGACTAGAATATGAGTATGACGAAGTCAGGCTAGTTTCCGCCAGTAGTGAGCAATGACGTACATCCGAGTGACTAGATGGAGGGTAGTTAGCAGGTGAAGGGCATGACATTTTTGGACTGGAACGCAGGCCTGCACAGTTCATCTCCAACCCTAATCAAACACCTGAAGCAACCAATTAAGGTCTTTAGGATCACTTGAAAATTAAAGGCAGGTGTTTTTGATTAGGGTTGGAGATGAACTGTGCAGGACAGTCAATCGGCAGGAGCAGGATTGGGCACCCCTGCATATTAGGTGTCTTCTTTAACTATGTAGTTGCATAGATTGATAGGTACAATGAATGTACTTATTGTGTTAATGTATGATTTTTCTTTCTAATTGCTTTAACAACAAGTTTGCCACTTAGGATATTAATTAGCTTTCTTGTACATCCAACAGATTTCCCTTTCCTGTCATAAATGTTTCAGAGCAAACTATTTTTTGTTAAATCCAGGGCAATTACAAGACGTTCGATGCCGATCAATCTGGTATGATTGGGTCCGCTGAGCTACCTGGAGCTTTCAATGCAGCAGGTGAGCAGTGTTGTCAGTGCTGACATTATTAAAATTTAGGTTGCAGTTTTGAAAGGCATGCTGAAGTCCTCTATGTGCTTTTTTTATATATATATTGTGGAAAATACTAGTATATCTACCAGTCCTAATTGGGTTTAATTTGTAATTCTTTCCATCCTTTAGGGTTCCCGCTTAATGACCAGCTTTTCCAATTGATCGTTCGGCGATATAGTGATGAACAGGGCAACATGGATTTTGATAATTTCATTGGGTGTCTTGTGCGCCTGGATGCTATGTGTCGTACGTTGTCAGAATATTTTGCAGTCTTTCTTTATTCTTTCATCACAGGCTCAGTATATTTTTAGATTCTGTTGCTAATATTTTCTTATTTTCAGGTGCCTTCAAGACACTTGATAAAGACAACAATGGCACCATTAAAGTCGACATTCAAGAGGTACTGTACATGAACCATAATTGAAGACGACAAGAAACCAACATTTTATGACTTGTACCATGATGAGTCTGCTAAATTAGCTTCTATATAACTCTCTTTTGTTTCTTGTTCACAGTGGTTGCAGCTGACTATGTACTCCTGAATGAAGACGAATATACTGCACAATGGTTATATTAATTTGTCAGTTCTTCTTTGTGGCCTGTCTTTGTGTTTTATTAACTGACATAATTATTAGTTTAATTGTTAGCATGACAGCATGATCATATACTGTGCCTCTACACTAGATGGCAGCTTTGTTGCGACGCTAGATAGTGTTTGCATTGTGGTCTCTAAAGGTCAAGTTTTTGCCACATTTCCATAGTTTATTCCATGCCAATTGTGTCCTTTACATTAATCCATGACTGGCTTTATAGTTTTACAAAGTGCATTCAACCAAAGATTAAAAACAATGTTCTTATGTTTTAGATAATAGCTTTTAACAACATTCCAGAGCCATATTATTTAATCACTGAGGATGTGAATCAGCTGTCATTTTTGCAGACTTATTAAAACTGATGTACAAATAAACGTTATTTGTTCTGAAAACAAAAGCAAAGCAGATCTCCACTCATTACGTGTGCAAACACCGGTTGCTCTGAGCAACGCAATCTAACCGCATCAGTGGGCTGAAATAGAAAATGACTGACAGTTACAATAGCCAATTAAACAGCCCAGCACCAGATATGAATAGAACAACAGCCAATCGTCTTCATAATGAGGGCGTGGCCTCCAGAGTTACCTGGGATGAAGACAACTGCTGCTCGCGCTGAGTAGATGATGCTGAAATCAGATCAATAAGCAAACAGGTGTTGAGCGCGAGTATAGGTGAACAAAACGGGCTTTATCTTTGCGTCATCTTCAGGGGAAATAAAAATTAAGCGTGTATCTGCTGTCATATACGGTGAGTTGCATTTTTTTTTTTTTTTTTTACATCTAGTTGACAAATAAACTTTTAGATAATTTTGGTAATCTAGTTTATCATGAAAAAGGCATCTGTTAATGTTAGGCTTTAATGTTGCATTTGGGATGCTATTTGTTTTGAGGTCCTATAGTTTATTCTGATATAAATGTTTTTTTTGTTTTTTTCCCCCAATGTAATATACCTAAAGGCAAACAATTGCATAATTATCACAGATTTGATTTGGTTCAAGATTAATCCCTAGATATTCCCTATATTATTGCCCACACAAGGAATTTGTGTATATAGAAATATATCATCTGTGTATTGTTGTCTCATGTGTACTGGAAGCAAATTCATCATAAAAACATATAGCAGTTATTACTGCTCATTCGGCCAAAAGATGCTTTTTACTATTTTGCTCTTCTTGCTGGAGTTTATAAGAATTTCAAGCAAATTTTTTGGGAAAACCCCCCTGCTTTGATTTAGTGTCCTTTGCATTTGGACAGAGGTCTCTTGCTATGAACAGATGAAATCCCCTCATTAAATCCATGCCCACATGCGGATTAAAACCCACAGCCAAACCAGCCCAGTAAATTATATTTGATAATATTTAGGTCTTATATGTTTATTGCTAAATCAATATTAGTTTGTTCTGCCTTCTTGGCATAATACAAATCGTATCAAATAACAGTAAATTGTTTGTAGACAAATTATGATTAATAATTAAAAACATCAAAATAACAAAGTCAATAGAATAAAAAAAATTAAAGTTGCAATAATAAGAATGTTCTAATAATTTTAAAGTTGCAATAAATTCCACTCAGTTTAGGCTAATGCATCTAACTTGAATCTAATCTAACAATCTTCATTTACAGTTTGTGTGCATTAACCATTTCAGTGGTTTTCTGATACCATAAAATTAGTTTCTTGCTATTATAGCAGGCTTCTTTTCCTATTTCACAGATGCACATGCTCTATTAGTCCACAAATGATCAAAGGTTTCTTACAAGCCATACATCTGCATGTTCATATTGTATAATTCCGAATTATTTGTGTTGATTGATGTACAGGGTGATTTTATAAATGATTTTCCCCAATTAATTAAGTGTATGATGTACTAATTAAAACTACCCACAGAGGTAGAATATCAGTTTCCTCTGAGGAAATGTGTGTTATATGCTGTGTATGAAAGAAGCTGTTTGTGATGGGTTTTCATTAAACATTTCAAGATCTGTATGGGATTAAATGGAAAGTGTTTGTTTTGATGTGGAACATCTTGACCTTTTCTTCATATATTTCCATCTTTGGTTCATGTTCATATGTCAAATTATTGCACGTATATAGAGACATTGAAGATGTCTCAAAGTAACGTATGCTGCAAATAAGCCTTGTTGCATTGTTTCAAATGCCTATACCGCTGATTTTCTTTAGTCACAAAATAAAGGTGTGAAAGACTTGGTGACAATTTAAACACACCCTCTAAACAGTGTAAGCTCCAGTTGTTTAAGGTTGGTCGAGATATATAATTTTCCATCCTAATGCTTGGGATGCGTGCTGATTCTGAGATGCACCTAGCAATTAATAAATGATGGTTTTGGTGTTGCACGAGGGGGTCTGATTTTATGCTGTGCTGTTTCTTCTCTGTTGTACCAGACCAATTATTGCTGTCAATCTGAGGCATGCTGAGTTTATAAAGCCTTTGCTCTAAGAATAACCACATCCCTCGACCTGTCCTCCCCCCTGCTGCAGTACTCAGCTGGCTGCCGACTCCACCATGACATCTGAAGTGGAGGAGATGCAGAGGAGGGCCAATCAGGTGACAGATGAGGTAATTCGAACAACAATGATTAGAAACTTCTACATTGATTTGTGTGGATCTTTAGCTGATGGTGTGTGTTTTTTGCTGTCCTGTTTTGGTGAGGCTGCACAACTATCAACAGGCCTACAGTGATGACATCAAACATTTTCCGTGTTGCCTTGTTAGGGTTACTACCGGTCTCAATTATTCCCATGGTATATAGCAAACAGGATGATGATGCTAAACATGTTTTATATGCACCTGCAGAATGATTATGATTCCCATTGTGACGTAGCGAGGAAAACATAAATGAAGCCATTATTCATCACCAGATTTTCCACTGGGTGTTATATAATGGATAATGTACAGTTCGCCGGTCTTTAAGGAAGGGTTCGGACCCAGATTCAGAGTGCTTATTACACGCCTATATTATTGTCTTGCCACTAATAAAAAAGTCTAATACAATATAAAAAACAATCTGCCTAGCAACAAGTCGAACACTGCAACAATATTACAGTGATATTAAAATACTAAGTTCCTCAAGTCATTTTCACTACAATCGATAATTTTCACTACAATCTGACTGACTATTCAGTCTAATCAGAATTGAGAACTCCATAGAATCACACAACTTAATAAACTTAATATGTTCTTTTTAGTCAACATTGTATTTTGAATCTTTACCTCCGACAGTCCCTTGAGATCACCAGAAACTTGAAGCTACTGTTGGAGGGGGTGAGTGATTATTATTAATCAACTATTTCAAAAATATATTATCAGCAATATTGCAGAATTCTATCTATCTATCTAATCTATCCATCAAGTTGTTGTTTTTTAATATTCATGTTCTCAAAGCTTAGTACCCCATCTTAAAATCTCTTTCATAAAACACTAATGTAAAATATAACTTTAAGAAGTCATGTGATATATACAGTATACATGGGGGCTTTGTTGAATGATTTTCAGTTTGAGTGTATGTCGATATATATATATACAGTAGGCTATATATATATATATATATATAGAAAAAAATCAAAAGTGTGTATAAAGCTGATTTATTTTGAGAGAATATTGATGAATTATCTATGTAAATGTGCACTCGTTCTGAATTATTTGTGTAATTGTTCAACAGAGTAAAGATGCAGGGATCAGGACGCTTGTAATGCTGGACGAGCAGGGAGGTATAATGAGTTATCTTCATACACGCTGTAATTAAATAGAGATCAAATGTACAGCAGCTAAACAATGAACTAATTACTAGCAAATGCATAATTGTTCATTAGTCCTGTTGCATCTTTATGACAGGTAGCTATTATCTGTATGCTAATGATAATATGTGCAAGATGTGGGTGTATAGACAATGTGTTCTTCATCTTTTGTTATTTACTCGTCCTTTGTGACACATATATATATATATATATATATATAGCCATATATGTGCATATAAAAGTACGTACCCTGCATGTGTTTGTGTGTGCATGCTCACATATTTCTACCCCTTTCAATTGCCCTTCCTGCTGCCACCCATGCCCTTCCCTATCTCCCCCGCATGGGCAGAACAACTGGACCGCATAGAAGAGGGCTTGGATCAGATCAACAAGGACATGAAGGAGGCTGAGAAAAATCTCAATGACATGGCCAGGTGTTGTGGTCTGTGCATCTGGCCATGTACAAAGTAGGTCTCCTCCCAGACACCTGAGCCATGGCTGGATGTCACCTCTCTGCCCATGCCTCTGTCCCATTGGTTAACCTATCCTGCTTTGACATTGCTTCCTATTTGTCTTTTTTTGGCTGTTTTGTGAGCAGATGTGAATGCAATTCCCCATGCGAACTTTCAAAATGAACCTAAAACGTGTGCCACCCGTGCTCACACAACAAACACAGTGGTTTTTAGTCACAATCCTAATGTCTTTCAGTCATGTTTAAGTCCATATGTCTGTTTTTCTTGTCGTTTTGAGCTAGAGCTGCCGTAGTTGTTTAGTTCCTTGTGGGTGTGTGGCGCTTCTTGCTGAGACATCTGTTGTTGTGTTTTTTATCTCGTCTCCATACTTTAACCACTGAAACTCCCATACTCTGTGATCCTACCTTCCGTCATCCAGAGCAACTGGAACGGATTGAGGAAGGGCTGGACCAGATCAACCAGGACATGAGGGAAGCTGAGAAAAACCTTACAGATCTGGGCAAATGCTGCGGTCTGTGCTCCTGTGATAAGTATGTGATGTTTGGAGGGGCTCGGCTTCTAGTATGCTTGCATGAAAACTTTGCATACCTCATTTGTGTCATTTTGTGCCAGTGGTTGCTTGTGTGAACTCAAGAAATCACAGTAAACTGGTTGGATACATACACCTTTGTGTGTGTATAGTATATTGCCCTAATAAGTAACGTTGTGAAAGGAACAATAACATAAAAAAATGTACCCTCACTGGTCTTTACCATTGAACTCATGAAACTCATGACTTAAACTACAGAAGTATGACCAACTCCAACCAAATAATATGTACTGTGATTTTTGTGTGGTTCATTCAAAACAGATGCAACACCAAGTAACTGTGTCGTAAGAGACAGCTTTGAATCCTACTCAAAGAATTTAGCCACACTGCAAAATCTAACATTGTTCTTACTAAGAATTTTTAAGTTAACTTTACTTAATGTCTAATAATTTGTTGAACTTACTTAAAATTTCTTAGTAATCTGTACTGTTTGCATGCTATGCCTTTGTTACTCAGAAAAACCTATTAAACATTACTTGACTGGTTTGGGTACCATTTTGCCAAAGCAAAAAAACAAACAAACAAAAAAACAGGCGGGGCAAATGGTTTATGTGGCCTTAATAGACCTTTCACTCATTTCTTCCACTTCTGCGGTCATCATTCTTATTTGCATTCGCTCATTGCAGTCATCTTGAATATTATTGTCAATACACCTACAAATTTTAAGAGAACATCAAAATTCTTTAGTTGACTTCATACATTCATGTTGATTTATTGTGATCACCATTATTGTGATTAATGTTCCCTTTGGTTGGGCACTTGGAACTTAATATATATTATTGTAATTATCTTCCAATTGATGCAGTGATGCAACATGAAATCACAAATATTTGATTTCAAAGGAAGTGAAGTAATAAATATTATATATATTTATACTTAAATTATTTCCATGTTATGAATGAATGTATTAATTATAACATAGCTATATTTCATGTATAATAATGATCTTTTAACATTTTATTATTGCTAACGCTTATGGCATAAATCTTTCATTGGGTTGATATTATCCCTCTATATTTGTGACGATATCTTGCAATTTTGCTTGAGTCACACACAGACTTCAACATTCAGCATGCAAACCACAACAGTGGTAACAATTGTTTTTTAAAATAATTTAATTAGTTAGACCATTATAATTTTATTTGCTGTCTCTTGTCACTATAACCCCAATAACGATAGCAAATAAAATTGTAATGGTAAAACAAAGCCAAAAATAGTAAAACAAAGCAATTCATTTATTCATGCCGCAATGCACTCTGGGAGTACGCTTCCTCAGATCACAGATAGAATTAAGTTGACAAAACTTAAATGGATTAAGTAAGAATAACTTGATGCAATTAAGTTATGCTTACTTGATGAAATTAAGGCAACAAGTTTGCATAATTAAATTAAGTAAACTGAACTAATTGTTTTTTACAGTGCAATTACTGCCTAAATTTCACAGATCATTTCTCAAGGTATAGGTTCTTGACAACAGAAATGACTAATTTAGGTAACTTTGTGTCTTTCTCATGGTTTCTCTCAGATTAAAGGACTTTGAAGCAAGTGGGGCGTATAAGAAGGTGTGGGGTAATAATCAAGATGGGGTGGTGTCTAGCCAGCCCTCCTCTCGAGTGGTGGATGAGAGAGAGAAGATGACCATGAGCGGTGGATATATTAGAAGGTGCCAGGACTTTTGACATTACCATTTCTTTCTCAATATAAATAAGCGGTTTGGTGGATACATTTATAATTGATATACTGGATATACTTAAAACTGAGAAGTTTTTCCTTTGAATTTTACGCGTACATACAAGACCATTTTCAAAATGATCCACGCAAACAACTAAAACCGCTGTATTCTGCTGCCAGGCCATTAGATGGCGATGAAACAATATAGACTGAACACGTAATACATATGTGCATGATGCCATCGTCTTCTGAGATTCGCGTTTTTGTTGTTTACACGTAGTGTTTTCAGGCACCCAAAACACTGTTGTGTAAACGAACGGCCAAAACGCATTAAAAGTTGTACCTTTTTTAGTTGAAAACGGTGTCGTGTAAACAGCCCCTTAAATACAGGAGACAAACAAAGGTAATTAAACACGACCAGCTGAACAGAATGACTAATCAAATGAGTAACAATGGCAACTAATAACGAGGCTGGCAAGAAGACAGGCAAAGAAAACAAACAGAACGTAACTGTGACACTACGCCCCCTCCGGGAAAGGCTAGCCTTGAAGAAGTCGAAGGAGGGAGAAGACATGGTGGGGATCTCCTTGACGAGGCCATGGGGATGACTAATGATGACAGAGTCAATAGTGGTGGAGCCCTTGGCGCATACAGAAAGTAGATGGACCTAAGCAACCCCGAAAGCCTTAACGGCCGTGACGTAGCTGCAGCAACAAGGCCGCGAGGTGCGAGGCCGGTGACGTGATTAATGGTGAGCGATACTTGCGCGACGCACCTGTCTCGTATCTCTCACGGAGGAGCGGAAGCATAAAGGAGGAGCGACGACAGTGAAGAGAGAGAGAGGAACAGGCCTGAACTTATGTTGTGTTTTGTTTGTTTTATTATATGTGACAGCAGTCGTCCGTGAGGGGCTGCTGTCTTTTACTTTCGTTTTGTATTTGTTTATTTTATTATTAAAGTATGTGAACGTTCGCCGGTTCCCGCCTCCTTCTTCCCACAAGGCACTCAGAGTCGGGTATCAGCGGGGGCATGGAATCATGCTCTTCCCAGACCCATTCCCAGAAATCCATGATTCACCCAAGGAGAAGTGCTCATTAACACAGGTTTAGACCGATTTGTGAACAATATTTGAGAGAAATAGGCCTTTTGTGTACATAGAAAAAGTCTTAACATTAGATCTTTGAGTTCAGCTCATGAAAAATGGGGGCAAAAACAAAAGTGTTGTGTTTATAATTTTGTTCAGTGTATATATATATATATATATATAGGCTATATATATATATATGAGTAAAGTAACGCATTACAAAAAATATCTGAATTACTTTTTTGAGCAAATAACGCAAGTTACTTTGTTTTCCCATTTATTGATTAGAGTAGCTAGGCCTATGTAATTTGTTACTGTACTTAAGTATCTTTTTGGTTACATTGTATTTTGACTGAGTATCAAAGATATTTGCAACTTTTACTCTTGACTACATTTTTTAATAAGTATGAACTCTTTACTCCAATACATTTTGACCTTACTCACCCAAACTTGTCAACAAGGCTAATTTATGTGAATGGAAGTCGAATTTCTGACGTCAACCCGACTTTCATTTCCAACCAGAATGCAACCCCTGCAACCAAAATCATCCCCTGACTGACGTTAGTACTACAAAGGACCTTGACAGAAATTTAGTGGATTAAAAAGTATGATATTTGTCTTTCAAATGTAGTAAAGTTAAAGTAAAAAGTTTCCAGAAAAAATAATAATCAAGTAAAGTACAGATACTCAAAAAGTGTACTTAAAAGTACAGTACTCAAGTAAATGTACTTTGTTATTGTCCACCTCTGGTAAACATGATGCTTATTGTGGTTCTTCTAGACTAAATGAATTATATCTCATGTTTAACCACTATCTACATAAGAGCCAGCGGCAAATTCCTGAAGGACTGGCCGAGATATAGCTGTTGTCACATGAGCGTTTAACGGCCGATGATGGCCTGGAGCTCGCTTCTGTGAAATAGGTGCTGTGTTTATGAGTCACATATTTGAGGTCTAAAAATCTCTTAAAACTACATTGTGTGATACAACAACAGTAGTATTTTTAAAAAATAGTGCGGATTTGCTCGACTGCCATGACAGTCGCCACAAGGGGAGGGATAGTATAGTGATCAACAGTCAGTTGACAGTGTGTCTGACTATTTGTGTGCGATCTTGACAGAGTGACAAACGATGTAAGGGAGGATGAAATGGAGGAAAACTTGGCCCAGGTCGGCAGTATCCTTGGCAACCTCAGAAACATGGCACTTGACATGGGCAATGAAATCGACACTCAGAATGTCCAGATTGAACGCATACAGAGCAAGGTCAGTGTTTGGAAAGGGTTCAGAGACACTGTTATACAAAGAGCAGCTGAACCTATTTATATTAACCATTCTTTGTTCTTTGATTCTGTTTTTTGCAGGCCATGGTCAATGAATCCCGCATCAATGAGGCCAATCAGAGGACCACAAAGCTAATATCAAGATAAAAACATGGGATTTTCCTTTGTTAAACATGTTTACAGTCTTCTGTGGGAAAATGTGCAAAATGACACAAATGAATAGGCTATCCTTCTTTTAAATGACTATTTGTGGAATTTGGATAACTGCCTACTGATATGATAGTAAATTATTCATATTATTATGTTCCGACAACATAGCTCTATTTTATAGAAAAATGGAATGAATGTTAATATACTGTAGTCTTGTGATTTAAACATGTATTGTATATAAAATGTTTTAGACTGCTAACTTGGTTTTTAAGCCTCCAAAACACTTGTCATGGGTGATAACAGCTCACTATTCAGACTGTCTTTAAGTTGTATTGGTACATGTCTTTGTTTACTTTGAGTAACTTTTTTAAAAAATAAATCCAAATTAATAGGGTGCTTTTCCAGATTGACAAACATTTTTTTTCTGCTAAATATGGGCCACTTGCGGTTCCTCAAATAGCTTATATAGCCTTAATTTTTTTTTATTATCTGCATTCTTATTAAATTAAAAATAATACTAAAAATATAACAAAATGTACACTATTTCCAATTAGTTTTTTTTTCTTTTTCTGGGACTGCCAGACTCAGTCACCATTCACTGAGATTCTATCCTTTTATAAAATGGTTACTTGGTCTCTAACATTATCCTAACTAATCTCCTTCTATGATCCACGGAAGAAAGAAAGTAATTTTGGTTCGGAAAACATGAGGTGAATAAATTACCAAATTTTCATTTTGGGGCGAACTATCCCTTTAAGCCGTTAGACAAATCTCAACGTATCTTAAAGGGATGTTCACTTCAAAATGAAAATTCTGTCATCACATAGGCCTACTCACCCTCAAGTTGTTTCAAACCTGTATGAATTTCTTTGTTCTACTGAACACAAAGGAAGATATTTTGAAGAATGTCAGTAACCAAACAGTTAACTGGACCCATTGATTTAAACAACTTGAGGGTGAGTATATGACAGAATTTTCATTTTGAAGTTAACTATCCCTTTAAGTTTTTTCCAGACTCATGCAGGCATATTTGAGGAACTCTCGCTACTCCCACCCACCGGTTGCTGCAGGCAATTACAATGCCACTCCCCATGTCTGAGAAAGAACCTCAAGATGGTGGCGTGTTATTGCATGGCCACATCATCAGTGAACTGTTTAAATAATGTTTTTTTTGTTAGTTTGTTTTTAAAAACAAACACTCAAATATTGATTTTCATTTGGTTGCCTTCCAAACTTCTGCTAGATATGCATAATACTCAATGAGTACATTGATTACGACCTGAGGACCACAGAAGAAAGACAATAGGATTGCAACACAATTTAATGTTTCTAATTTAATCTCTTCAGATGTAAGGCCTAAATTAATCCCAGTATTTCTTACTAGGAAGAATAGCCCCTTATGATTTGCATTTATCAAATTATATGCCTTTAAATTATGTCAAACCTATGTCTTTAAATATTTGATTAATATCAGACAAGGAAATCAAATTTTTTTTATATTTCAGTTTTTTAGTAACTGTTGGAGCGCCGTATATAGCCTCGAAAGTTACTAAACAGCCTATCAGAATGGGGTGGGGGAAGCGTACAAAATCCACAAATATTTTACGCGATATATTAAACTTGTATGTGTATATATAAAATGCAACTTAAATTTACGTTTATTTAATTGTGAGTTGCACATTCACATGCTTAGACTGGGCCACAGGGTGTTCGTGTGTAGTTGGGAATGTTTCCACACAGTCAGGCACAGGGCAGGATTACTATAGAATGTTGGCGAACTATCGTTGTGGAGGGGGAAAAACACGTAGAGCTGAGTCTGCGCGACGCAGGGGATCACTGCCTACGAAGTTTATCGGGCAAGACTACACCGACAAATCCTAGGACACATTCGACCACACTGTAGGTAATTACCACCCAATCTATCACTAATATCAATAGCAAGGGAGTTTATCGCCGTTCCGATGTACGCAGTTTAGATTTGACGCTAAATTCGTTCGTAAATACGTCTACGAAATGCGTGCGTACTCCATTTTCCTACTCGGCAGGCTAGCGACAAACAAAATACAAATCCGTTTGCGTTTCCTGGACGAATGTTTGCTTTTTACGAAAATGGATTGTATCTTTACGTGTATGAGCGAATACTGTACGCGAGATATTTCAGATATGGCAGATTTGAACGCTTGAGATACACGCCGTGTTTCCGTGATGGCGTTCGCTCGATTCTCTCTGTTCCTATTGCTCTCTGACGATTAGGCAGGACAACAACAAAGAAGCAGGAAGCATATGGGCACACCGGCGAGGCGGTGTGAGATCACGCCGCAATTAGTCGTAACAGTTAATTTAAAGTAAAAGGATCCTAGAAAAATGTGGATCTGTGCTTTTCCCAAATAATCTCTGTCTGTGGCTGTTCTGTCCTTTTAAAGAGCAGAACACAAGCAGCAGTCATCACATTATTAATCAGAGTAAATTGACACACACACACACACACACACACACACACACACACACACACACATATATATATATATATATATATTATATATATATATTTCTGTGATGCAAAGCTGCATTTTCATCAGCCATTACTCCAGTCTTCAGTGAAACAATTCTAATGATTTATCAACGTTGGAAACAGTTGTGCTGGTTAAATTTTTTTTATAACCTGTGAGACTGTTTTTCAGGATTCTTTGATGAATAAAAAGACCGAAAAAACAGCATTTATTCAAAATAGGAATCTTTTGTAACAATATACTCTACCTTTCAAAAGTTTGGGGTCGTCATTTTTTTGTCCTTTCTTTTTTTGAAAGAAATGAATACTTTTACTCTGCAAGGATGTGTTACATTTATAAAAAGTGATAGTAAAGATTTATATTGTTAGAAACAGTTTCTATTTTGAGTAAATGCTGTTCTTTTTAGCATCAAGTCAGCATATTACAATGATTTCTGAAGGATCATGTGACACTGAAGACTGGAGTAATGACGCTGAAAATTCAGTTTTGCATCACAGAAATAAATGATATTTTAAAGTAAATTTAAATAGAAAATCATTATTTTAAATTGTAATGATATTTCACAATATATATATATATATATATACACACACACACACACAGTGCAATGAAATAAGAACAGGTTAGTTGTATTTAAGGCAGGTTGAAGAGGATGAATGAGTTAAATGATGCTGCTTTTGGATGAATAATAATAATAATTTGATTATTTTATTTATTATTTCAGCCATATAATTCATGGAAACCTTCTGATGGATGCTGTCTAGAAGCCCTGTTTGATTTAGTTTGTGATTGGTAACAGCGAAAGTTTTCGAAGGAGGAGGGATGTCGGAATTTCTGCCATACCCTTACAGAGGGCCCGGAGGTGCTTTGATGCGCTTTAAGAAAAGGAAGTCACGGTTCACGTTCCAAGAGGTTGAACTTCTGCTCAGCGAGGTGCAGAAAAAACGGCATATTCTAGTTGGTAAGTCATACCTTTTTATTTTTATATCACACAGTGCAATAGGACCTGACAGCGATTTGAAAGTATGTAAATGATGCTTTGCATACATGAAGGATTCTAGTTAAATGAACTCATGTCTTCAACAGGAAAGTTCAACAGGGGCATTTCGAAGGAACTGAAAAACCGCACTTGGGCGGATCTGACAGCACGTATCAATGAGGTCAGTGAGTGTCACAGAGAAATTATTGAAGTCATCAAGAAATGGGCAGACCTCAAATGCGACACCAAACGGAGGGTGGCGGCCATGAGGGCATCGGGAGCCACGGCTACCCACATCGCACAAGAGCTGTCACCCATAGAAACCATGGTGCACCAGATCCTTCAGATGTCTAACCTTAACAAAAATGTGAGCAGTTTGGCAATTGATGACCAAATGGATGACGAAGACGAAGACATTCCAGGTCTCTCTGAGATCCCACATAGCTCGTCACACATGGCAAATGGCGGGCCTCATTCGTTTAGTTTACCAATGCCACCTCCTTTCCTCACTAGTATCCCAAGCAAAGGAGATATGGTGCTTCCCACACACATGATGTTTAGCGGTGAGTTCCTTCTTTAGTGAGTAATTTGAAGGTTATTCATTACTAAATGTTTAAATAATAAGTTGGTAATTTTGTTTTTGTATTGATAGATTCAGCAGTGCCTCTTATAGACCTCCAGACTGGCGCGTCAGAAAAGGAAGGTAAGTAATAATGCAGAGCTACTTGCCATATGTTTTAAAAATCCATAAAAAATGCAGTTCGTACATAAAGTGAAATACATCTCTTCTACGATGAGCAGGTTTTTAATTGAAACACTTTTATTCACCATGTGAATAAAATTCACATGGTGAATTCACATGGACACATTTTATTCACAATTCGCTAAAAACATGATGATTTTTTATTTATATATATATTATATTTGAAGAAAAAAAGAAAGACAATTGAAATATTTGTTTTTCCTTTTTGGGGGGAAAAATGTATTGCATTAAAAAATGAATGTAAAAAATAATAATGTTCATGTTTATTGTAGATAAATAATGTCAGGTCTTGGTCATCTTATATGTTTTTCATGTATAAGGGGAAAAATGAATATTATTGTTAATAAATAAATAAATTGGTCACACCACATAACATAAACTTTTTTTGTGAAAATGGTGCATTGTGAACAGCATTATCCTGTACACTCTTTTTGGTACTTGATGTTTTGCATATCCAAATAAAAAACGGTTTCTATTTTAATGCTTATATTAGCATGAACATATTTCTGTTCCTTCCAGGTGGTAACATGCAGTTTATTGAAACAGGAAACCAACCAAATCAGAATCCTGTTGTTATCCCTGGATTCCTCAGCCGTCCCATTGCTGAGAAGAACCAAGTTCGAGAAAAACCTAATCACAACACATTTAACGGGCCTTCAGCTGCCAGGACCTCAACATTTATTGCACCTTCTGGGGCCGCCTCATCATCACGTTCAGCTCCTGTTCGAATCCCTCCCCAACCTGCTTCCGTGGAACCCCGCAGTCTGCAGGAACGTCTATCCCAGAGTGCCTCACTCAGCCTGCAGGAACAGCAGGGCACCACACTGCTGATAGGGTCGCTGTCTCGCTCGCTGGAGTCGCTTGCGGAGTCAGTGCAGAAATTAGTCCACACCCAGCAGCAGTATTCACGTGACACCTTACAACTGCAGCGTGAAACACTCCACGTCCTACGTGACTTCTCCTCCAACGCCTTGACACTCCTGCAGGACAAGTTCAACGGACATCCATAGCTTCTGAACACCGCAACGCTATCGACTGCTACAACTGGGAGCAAGTTACATAAGCGGTGAATGCTAATAGCACAGAAAATACAATAAGCTGAGGATATTGTGACACTAGAGTATATGGCAATCTTTAAATATCTTATATATTGAGTTACAGAGCTGACAGGACTAAAAAGTTTTCCCTGTTTATAACCTAATAACCAAAATGAGAAGCATTGGGAGCTGAAATAGGTTCTTTGTAGAGTTCCTCATATGTACTGAATGATATTTTCAGTAGATGACTGGGTCTCATAGACTGTTTGGACCAATTATGTGCTGTTATACAGGTAATATAATAGGCAAAATGTATTTAAATTGACTGGTAATTTAAGATAATTATACTTGTGGTGCTTTTTAACATATTGCGAAGTGGCCATGAAGTTGGGTGGTTTTAATTTATCTAATCTGATTTTACAGTCTTCTTTATTTGGGTTTGTTTTTCTGAAATTCTTTTAAATCAGTTTCTGGCTCAAGCATTGCTTGACAGACCTGCTGTAAATGTTTTAATCTTTTAGCCAATGTGCATTATCTGTTATTAGTAGTTTCTCTTCACTTGACTTTCCAAAGACTCGTTAGTGTGTTTTTTTTTGTTCTCCAGATGCGATTTTGAATAGTGATTGAAGGCACATTATCTTAGATGTAGCTCCTATGGACCTGTGTTTGATCTCCCAGAAATGAAAAGTCAGCACACTGTCAAAAGATGTCTCCTACTTTAAAACCCAATGTCAAAGATGAAAATAAAATGTATAATTTGAAATTACTTTAAAAATCAGTATTGTGTTTTGCTCCTTCCGATTAAGTGTGACAGGTAATCAGGAAAAGTGGGAAAATTGGTTTTGGCTACCATATGTAATTTTATTTGTGCTATACACAAAAAGTATTCTTGTCGCTTGATAAACTTAAGGTTGAGCCACTGTAGTCACTTGGACTACTGTAACAATGTCTCTACTAACTTTTCTGGGCTGGCAGATATCAATTACCTAGCATCCTATGAAGGAGCGAGACAGCTCTCAGATCTCATCAAAAATATCTTAATTTGTGTTCCGAAGATGAACGAAAGTCTTACGAGGTTGGAACAACATGAGGGTGAGTAATTACTGACAGAATTTTCATTTTTGGGTGAACTATCCCTTTAATAGAGTAATGTTTTACTCTAGGTGTCAGTGCAGGGGCACCAAAGAGTCTTAAACCGCCACTGATTGTAATCTGTTACTTATTCCAAATTACATGACAGAAATTGTAGTTAGCGACGTAATCTAATTGCACATTTAATGTAATCTGATTACTTTTTGATTACTTTTGACCTACCTCATTCATAACGTTGAACTGCAGGGGGTTCGTGAGTTAAATGAAAAGCTAATAATTAAATAAATCATAAAAATGGAAAATTATAATAAAAATGCCTTCCAAAGACAGCAATACATGCAATTTCCTAAAACTAGAGGACTTTCTGAATGATTTTCTTTTTTAGAAAGGAAAATGTAAAACATGAAAGGGAGAATCAATAAATTGTGATTGATTTACTGCCATTCTGTGAATAATATGTAATCAATAAAAAAGTAACTGTAGTCTGATTATGCATATTCTTATATATTCATATAATAGAGAGCATCTGTTATATGAATAGATTATATATTCATATATGAATGCGTAATATTACTTTTTGGAATCTGATTATGTAATCCAGATTACATGTAGTCAAGTTACCCAGCACTGAGTGGGATGTCTGAATATGAAACATTTGAATACGAATTGATTTGCGATGTTGATAACTGGGAAAGTGTCCTCGCGGTCTGTGAAAAGGGTTCATATAGTCCATTAACATTTTTTAATTTAACCTGTTAAATTAAACAGTGGAAGCTTTATAAAGCTTAAAGTTATTTATATAATCTACTTTGTATAATCTGTTTTGTTAACAGATGAAGGGGAAAAAACAGTTGAAGTTGCTTATGAGATTTTGACTAAACAACGATTATGCCTACTCTTGAATCTACACTCTCAACAACACTGGTTTCTCACGAAGGAATACGAAAATGCCCACTAGATGTCACTGTTGCACTTTTATTGCCAAGTGGGGGGGGGGAGAAATCAATTTACAAATGGACAAATAGACCATTAAAAGACATTTTTATAAATATATTTAACATCAGTTAAATACATCAATTAAGTAATAATTATTAAAAGATATAGTAAGATATGATAGGAATATTAAGAAAAGGCCCTCCTGACTGAAACTGCCATCTCGTGGTCTTTCCCATTTCTCCTGATTTTCATAAACTTCATCTGGTAGAGCTGGATCCTCAAGGCATTTCATACAAAGGTATGCGGATGGTAGCATATAGAGAAATAACTTAGTCTAGAATTGTGCACAAAATCTATTCTTTTCATGCACTTCATACAAATAGTTTGGTTGCCTTATGTTATCTTTAGTTTTTACTACACAAGGTTAATCCAGATTTAACATGCAGGACGTTTTAAACAAATAATAATCATAAAAAGGGTTAAAAGTCAGTAGTCAGAAAATAAAGTATAAACATAAAGTACCTGCACTCAACGCAAATTTTTTTGCATTATTTTGGCTTTACTGGGCCGAATAAGTCACTTTTTAAAGTGTCATTATCAAATTAAAATCAGACAACAGAAGCATTGTAAACTTTTTTTTTTAGTTACTGTATCTTCAAAATACTTCAGTATGTTATTTCCACAACTAAATTTTCTTTATTATTATTTGTGATGACTGATGAGTTTGCAGTTTCCAGCAACCCTGTAAGATAAATCATACATTTATTACAATTCATGGATGGCATCAGTTGCATTGCAAAGTTATACTGGTGATACATAATGTATTATTTGTATACTTACACATTTAGCTTAGCTTTCTCCAGCCATCATGCCAGGTTTAGATGTTTGTATAATTCACATTTTTTCTTTAAAAAAAACATTATATATATAAATACCTATATAAATATATAATTAATCATCAGTAAATATTGTATATTATATTAGAGTAGAATAACAGTAGAGGCTCAAATGTACATCATTTACAGTATTGTTGAAAAGTTTGGGGTCCCTTTTCTAAAAAAAAAAGATGTATATAAAATGTATCGTGTGACACTGAATACTGGAGTAATGATGCTGAAAATTCAGCTTTGCCAGCGGAGGATTACACATTTTGAAATATAATAAAATAGAAAACAGTTATTTTAAATTGTAATAATATTTCATGATATTACTGTTTTTTACTGTATTTTAATCAAATAAATGCAGCCTTAGTGAGCAAGAGACTTCTTTCAAAAAATCTTAAATGACCCAAACTTATCAACGGTAGTGTATTCATTTTGGTATAATGTACTAATCCAAAGTATTTATCAAATCAACAACAAAATGACTGTTCAGATTGTTGACTGTTGTTCAGGCCGCACAAGTTTAAAATATCATTATGTACCACACAGTGACTAGTACCTCATGCCACTCGAGTGTCTTTACAGGAAGAGCCAGATGACAGAGCGGACAGCTGCTTATCTTATCCAGGTCCATGTCAATGTGTTTGTCTCTCTTTGTCTTTTGCAATGTTGAAAAGGAGAAATCTGCAGCGCCTGGAGCACTGGCATTTCCAGCTTCGAAATTTTCATCCGAGTCATCATCCTCGTAGTCTGCATTCTGTAAAATCTGGTTGCAACCCAGCTAGTCAAAGGGAATAATAAAAGATTTGCTGCGTTAAAAAAGAGATTTTCATAATTACTGTACATAAATATATGAAATATATTTCTGTAATATCTTATTTATTTCCTTATTTTACCCGGTGATCCTTCAGTTTGTCTGAGGAAATGTATCTCAGACAATTCTGACATTGCAACATGGTCGGCTCTGGAGATAACAGATATGCTAAATCAGTATTTTACAATGAAAATACCCAGAACTTGGCAATACTATATCTATAACATATCCATAATGTTTAAAACTGATTGTGTCATGATGAACAAACCGTCAGTCTCAGATGCATCATCTTCAGGGACAAGGTCCTTTGATGTTGTTGGAGTGGTAGTTGAGCAGATCTGAGCGTGATCAAGCTGGTCCATCAGTTTGACATACCGGCCACAGTCGGAGCAGAGCTCGGTCCGACTCCCACAGGACACTCTGTGCTCTTTCAGGTTGCTCAGAGGAAGCTCGAGCTGACAAAACTCACAGATCTGAGGCCTTTCAGGGCACTCGTCTTTCTGAAAGACAGAAACAACAAAGGAATACGTGAAAAAAAAAACACCCGGAGCTCATCAGCTTAAATAGATGTAAGATGAAATATTCACCTCGTGGTCCAACAAATGCCTTCGCTCCATCTTTTTATTGCACATCTTACATTTTACCTGTGAGACATGATGAAAATGAGACCACCAACAGTATTTTAGAGGTGGGAGATTGCAATGATGAGTAAAAAGCAACACAAGTGGAAAACGTTCAGTAGGAAAATGCATCAAAAATCTTGTTTTGTGTGTGTGTGACAAACAGGGCTAAGAGCTTGTAAAGAGGAGCATAGATCAGAATGTTAAGCGGTGTTGAGTGGTGTGGTTATGACCTGTGCGTGCTGTTCGGTTTTATGCTCCTCCAGCTGATCTCGAGGGATAGTGTCATTGCAGTCAGGGCATTTACACAGAAACCTCTTACAGTGTGGTTCATGGAGGTCATAGTTTGCCTTTGCCACCTCTTTATTGCTGCATAAAAACATTAAAAGAGACTCTTTACAGAGACTGGAGGATGGAAACGTTGGGATTGTACATGTTTTCTTAACCCTAGAATGCATGAACCAAAAAAACCAACAACAAATGGATAAAGTGGGTCAAAATGACCCATATTGGAATGAAGGGTTTTCTTCAAAAATAAGTCTTATTAATGAATGAATTAAAAATAATTGATGATACTCAAATGTTTTAATATATCAAACATGCTTATTTGTCCACTTTGTTCTTTGTAAATATATTACAAAAGATGATTAGAAAAAATGCAGTTGTACTATTTTTTAAAACAAACTCATATAGATCTACTGTAAAGTATATATCGCCACATTTCTCACAGAGCATGTGGAAATTAAATTAGCTGACAAAGGCAGAACATTTCACATAAGATTGGCACCTTTCTAAGCATAACTTTTAGGCAGAGTTTGTACATCTTCATTTGTTTGGACAGCTGTCCTTTCCTGTAGCTTTTCTCTACTCGTCTACTGCATCTTAAATCGCATACTGTTTGAGTATATTATTATTGACAAAAATGTATCCAAAAATACTGTGTTGAGTCAAAGTTCCCCATATGACCAAGATATAGGAAAATTACATTGATGAGGGTCAGAAACAAGTTTTAGAAGAATTCATGGAATATCAAACAAACAAATGTTTTCATTGATAAAATATTTAATCAACTGAAGCATGGTGGGTCAATTTGACCCTCTTTATGCATTCTAGAGTTAAAGGAACAGTTTACCCAAAAATGCTGCCATTATTTACACACCAGCATGTTGTTCCAAACCTGTATGACTTTCTTCTGAGGAACACAAAAACACTCCTAAGCACTTAAAAAAAAAATATATATATAATAATGAAAGTGAATGGCGACTTGGGGTGTCAAAAACTATGCATGGGGGGCCTTCATTTCGTGAATGAATCATTCTTTTGAGTCAGATGAATGAATCGGTTGATCGAGTTAAAAAAAGAAAGAAGGTCTGAATCATAATAGATGTCTGAACCAGGTCTGAACGGGACTGAATGGGAAAGGATAATTGATGTGATGTATGATTGATTTTTGAAATAAAATGCAGATTTTTTTTAAATTGTTTTAATGTTTTAGATTAAAGTGTTTCTGTATCACTTTGTATTCCCTTCTTGTTATTTAAATAAAAAGAGAACGGATCTGAATGATTTGTTCGCGAATCAGAATGATCCGATTCTTTAGTTCAACACTCACTGACGCAATGAACCAGTCACAGCTCACTAGGTTTAGAGTTGTAAATAACTTAAAACGGCTCATTTCTCACATAAAGCTATCATATAGCTTTATGAGATTTGAATGGAGCATGAGTCATAGCCTACTTATATGATAAGTAGCATAGGCTATTATGCGTTTGTGTTATTTTTTTCATAGAAGCTTCACGTCCAGACACGTTGGATACCTTTCCAAATCCACATGTTGTGATCCACGGAAGAAAGAACGTCCTACGGTTTTAGAAGGACATGAGGGTGAGTATGATGCCAGAATGTTTGGGTGAACTAGGCTAAATCAAGTTAATAGCTAACAGCCTAAATTAAGTGTTTAGGTCACAAGTAGCCTAGTGTTAGCCTACAATTATTCACTATAATCAATCCTGTTCAAAATGAATGATTCAGCAAATCACCAAAGCAAATGAAATGCGTCTACTCTATAGTTTTAAAATTCACAATTTTATAGAACGTAAACTGTCCTGTCAGCCATAGCTGGCCCCCATGGAAATAGTTTCACTTTGTTAAAATTATATAGGCCGCAGTTATAATATCAACACCATAAAGAAAAAGTCATTATTGTTGTGTACTAAAGTAGAATGTTTTTTTTTTTTTTTAATGCTGTTGCTACTGTTGACAGAGAGAAATTTGTCATGATAATAGGATCGTCTAAAACTCGACGAACACGATTTGTTTGCATTGGCAATGAACATAACTAGACGATCTTAAATCTCTATGCGATATTATGTTTACAATACATTGTAAAACACTCACCAGTGAGTACACAGAATCAGTTCTTCAGTGTCCATAGTTAGACTATAGGCTACTAGAGAGAGATGACTGGGTTACTGTGTTGGGGTTGTCGATTTCACTTACTCTGAACCGAAAGTAGAACCGAAACTTAACAGGTGTCGTAAATAAATCTTCTCGCTAAAATGCTCTTGTTTTCTAACAGTACAACATTCATATTGCCTTGTGTTGTTGTGGTGAAAAACAGTCAACACTTCACTTGACAATGGCATCTAGTTGCAGCAACATACGTCTCATCTTGTAGCCATAACTCCTGCACAGTCACTGTGATTGTTGCATTAGATAACCACATGTATTAAAGGATGGCTCATTGTATTGTAACCATATTTCTGTAAATTAGTAAAATGTAAAAACAAATGCAATAATTGTCAGTAAAAAAATGATCCTTCAGAAATAATTATAATATGCTGATTTATTATCAATGTTGGAAACAGTTTTACTGCTTAATAATTTTTTATAACTTGTAATTTTTTTCAAGATTCTTTGATGAATAAAAAGTTAAAAAAGAACAGCATTTATTTAAAATTGAAATCTTTTGTAATAATACTACCGTTTAAAAGTTTGGGATCAGTCATTTTTTTCTGTCTTTTTTTAAAGGTAATTAATAGATTAAAAGATTTCTATTGTTAGAAAAGATTTCTATTCTGAATAAATGCTGTTCTTTTAAAAATTGTATTCATGAATCCTGAAAAAAGTATCACAAATTCCCCCCCAAAATTAAGCATCTCAACTGTTTCCAACATTTATAATAAATCGGCATATTAGAATGATTTCTGAAGGATCAGACTGGAGTAATGATGCTGAAAATTCAGCTTTGCCAACACAGGAATAAACTAAATTTTAAAATGTATTAAAATAGAAAACAGTTATTTTAAATTGTAATAATATTGCACAATATTACTTTTAATTTTATTTTTGATCAAATGAAACCTTGCAACCTTGGTGAGCATGAGAGACTTTCAAAAACATTTAAAAAACGTACAGATCTAAACTTTTGAACAGTAGTTTATATACAGTTGTAATCGAAATTATTCAGCCCCCATTGCAAATCAGGTTTAATGGCAAAATGTACAGACTTTCAGCTGTTTGCAATGAACAAATCAAACAAAAGTAATTTAGGCCTTGTCCACACGGACACGGGTATTTTTATAACCAGAGTTTTTCCTACAGCGTTTTAAAAAAAAATCCCGTCCACACATGCTCGGTCTCCGTCTACATGAAAACGCAAAAACACGCAATCAAGCGCGGTCAAGAGCATGCCACGCCAGCAGGCGGCGATATAAACCTGGCGCCCTGTCCACACGGACACGGGTATTTTTATAACCGTGACTTTTTTTTTACGCGGTTCGGCCGTTCGTCCACACGAAAACGCACTGAAACCGAACATTTTTGAAAACCCCTGCCAGGGTGAGAAACGCCGGTTACAGTGTTGTCGTGTAGACAGTGAAACCGGGGTTTTTGCCTTGCGACGTCAGAGCGTGCGCCGTTATCCGCTGTGTTTGACGTCAGATTTGCGCTTCTGATTGGCCAACGTGGCTTTACGGTTAAGGTTTATATCGCCGCCTGCTGGCGTGGCATGCTCTTGACTGCGCTTGATACGTGTTTTTGCGTTTTCATGTAGACGGAGACCGAGCATGTGTGGATGGGATTTTTTTTAAAAACGCTGTAGGAAAAACTCTGGTTATAAAAATACCCGTGTCCGTGTGGACAAGGCCTTAAATAGCTCACCAGAACAAATGTTTTAAGAGGTTTCCCCAAATTCAATTGAAAATGCAACTTTTAATGACCAGTCTCAAAATTTTTCAATCCCTTCATGGCAAGCATCTTTAGTACTTAGTAGAACACCCTTTTGCTGTTATGACCTGCTGCAAACAAGATGTATAACCAGACACCAGCTTCTGGCAGCGTTTCTGAGGAATCTTAGCCCATGTAGGATGTAGGAGTATCGTAAGTTTAGATGCCTCTCGTGTTTCAAACAAACAGGGCTGGGCAACAAACTCAAGCTCCTCCAACATTTCTCTTAGAATTGACGTTTTAGACTTCTAATTCGTGACTGGTGTTTTGTTTTGCTCTATCCTCTGCAATTCCGCGTTCGTCATTACATTGTGCGTCAGCTCAAGGGTTACTCTTTCGCCGTAAATCAATGCGTACTGTCTGCCAGAAGCTAGTTATTTTAGTCGATAAAGTTTTAAATATGGATATTTTTCTTACACGAACGGCCTTACACTTTCTTCAGAAGGCCTTTATTAACCCCCCAGAGCCGTGTGTAGCACTTTTATCATGGATGGATGCACGTTGATGGACTTCAAAACAGAAACGGCCATTCACTGCCATTATAAAGCTTGGAAGAGCCAGGACATTTTTTAAAATAACTCTGATTGTATTCTTCTGAAAGAAGAATGTCATACACCTATGGCTTGAGGGTGAGTAAATCATGGGGTAATTTTCATTTTTGGGTGCAACTATCCCTTTAATGTGTTCTGGCTCAAGCACACCTGGTGCAACTAATTAAGCCCTTGATTAGTTGCATCAGGCGTGCTTGAGACAACACCTGTTTTGCAGATTTGTGCTGTTGTGAAGGATTTTATTCAGGGGTTGAATAATTTTGAGACTTCCGAAGTCATTAAAAGTTGCATTTTCAGTTGAATTTGTAGAAATACTTGTTGTGTTGAGCTATTTCAATTACTTTTGTTTGATTTGTTCATTGCAAACAGCTGAAAGTCTGTAAAGTTTGCCATTAAACATGATTTTCAACAGGGGTTGTATAATTTCGATTACAACTGTATATAGAGGGGTATGTTTCATATATGGCTATCCCTGAACAAGATATTTGAATGCGTTGTTTTGTGGTCAGTTAATACGATTTTGTAATGCACCCAAAATACACATAAATGATTTCACATTTTAACCTTTGTTGTTTTTAGCCAGCCTGTTTCTATGAGAAAGGAAAACTTCAGACTTCTATTTGCCTGCATCCAAGCAATAGATGTTACCCTCCCGAGTGAAGTATAGTTTACTCATTTACAATGTGCATTAATATGGATCAGTTCATGGTGTTCAGCTTTGTATCTTCTCTGGATGATTATTGCTCAACTCACGTATACTGTCACTTTAGTGAAACATTAGGAGTCTGACAGACTGCTGGATGGATGTCCCTTGTTGGCCCCATTAGCAGATCACTTATGTTGACTCTGTAGTTCAAGATTTTATTGAGCTGTTAGTTTTAAAAAAATGTTCTCAAAATAATTGAACAAGGCTTTTGTATCAAGGCCTCGGAGACATCAGACATCAGCAGCTAATGGATGTTTGTCAGCAGAAACAGCACAGGAGCGGACAGCTGTGTCACGCCAGGGGAATCACAGTAATTACGGTATTGAGTTTCGCGTTTTCACTATCACCACAGATGGGTGTGGACAGAAGACTTAACACAGACTGGTTCATTCCCTAATTCCGCCTGAGTGGGTCAGCTGTCGCCTGCAATGTCTGATCAGAATTGTGATCAACATTAGAGGTGCCACCAGGGTAATCTGGCCCGATGTTGCTTTACATAAACAAGCAAATTATTTTTAGGGTAGGATTGTATGCTGCAGGCCTGTTTTTCTTGTATGTTTGTGTGTGTGTGTGCGCGCTTATATAATATTAAAGTTCACAAGTCCTTGCTGCACCAGTCAGACCAGCAGCACAGTTCAAAGCAAATAACAGGGTTGTTTTAGCATCAATTCAACATTTACACTCATCAATTCAGAGAGTTCTGGTGTTCTGGTCTTACATAGGTAAGCTCTCTTTTCCTTGGTGATTTATATTATCAGTTTCTGATCACTGCTCTAGATCAGATTGCTTTTATGAGCAGATCGGGGACATCTGATCTCAGAGTCCAAAAAAGAATGCATGAAACTAAATATTGTTTTAATGCATCGCAGACCAGTGTCACAACAATTTCACAATAAAGTGACCTTGGGATTGTTTACTAAGATATTTGGTGATGGTTATTAAGATGCATTTTATGCACCTTTATCACCTTTCATTTATCCTATTTTAATAATAATAATAATAATGATAATAATAAACTTTATTTGTATAGCACCTTTCATACAAGAAATTCAGTTAATTAACAAAATAAATCCATTACAATAAGCACATTAATTTAATTGTAGTCATTTACTGTTATAATTTATACATTTTAATTTATATTATATAATTAAAGTAACCTATTTATTATTTATTTATTTATAATATGCATCAAAATAATGCATTTTTTTATTTAAAAATTAATATTTACTTTTTAATTAATAATATATTAAATAAATATTATATTGAATGATATATATTTACATATTAAATATTCATAAACAAATATAAATTATTTACATTTATAATTTAAACAATTTATTAATATATTTGTATTCACATTAATGCAAATAAACATGAATAAACAAAAAAACATTATTTGTATATAATATGAATACAATTAGTAACCATAAAATACACAACACAAGATGTCAATTTAAAATAAGAAAACATAATACAAATACTTCATAACATCACTTGCGAGTTAAAAGCTAGAGTAAAAAAATATGCTTTCTTTTAAAAATATTTTGTATATTGTAATGTAATTATTATAGTATATTAAATATATGGTATAATATACTAATGGTATAATAGATAGCATACAATATTGTAAAATATATATTTTATTGATTAAACTAACACTTTCTTTTCTTTGCTAACATGTCTACAGCCCATCTTACATTGGGTTTGTTGGCATATACACTTGAATTAAACTACAAGCTGATGGATTTCTTTTCAGAGGGAAGTCACACCTCTAGCTGGCTGTCAAACATTGCAGTGCCATATGCTAATTTTTAAATCCTATAAAATCTGGTCATATCATTGCAGGGAAAAGAACAGGTTGATAAAATGTGAAACCTTGTGTGAAATTGCTGTCATTTTCGGGTTTATGCTATATATACATATGTTCATCCAACCAAACCTTATGGCAGAAGTCCAAAGAAC